CTGGGGATGTTCAGGCTCTCACACACGCGAGGTACACCCTTTACCACTGAGTTATGTCCTGAGCTTTTTGCACATCTCTTTCTAAAGGAAAGTTTTCCATCCCACTGCTACAAAGCTGTCCTTCCCACGTCACCTCGTCACTAATCATGAAGGGAGGTGATGAGGAATGAGCATGGTGAGGGATCACCACGGACTGCAGTGATTCTGTCCCCACCCTGCTAGTCAAAGGGCTCGGCGTCACTTCCCTTTTATGTAAAGGAGCAACAATGAATTTTCATTTTGGTGAGGGCTGAGAGAGGAATCTTAGAATATATTCTGGTGCAGGGAACATGCAATAAATGTTCTCCCCAAGGAGAACATGTGCGCTGTGAATGACCTCATTGATATTTGATGACAGGAAGTAGGCTGGGTTAGGGGCCGGAGAGGACTCAATCCACCAACACCATTCAGGGAAGCTCTAACATTGCTGGGATTTGTGAGGGCACATTACCATGGAAATGATGCCTGCTAAATGAATCTTTTCTGGAAACGTCAGTGGTCAGTTTAGACTACCTGATGTCTGTCTTCAGAAGAGTCTTTGCTCAGCAACTGTCACTGTAGTGAGGTGTGAGGGATTGTCCAGGCTTCACTCAGGCACATTGGAGCCATGGGTCTCCTACAAAGCTTTCAGAAAGTGCTGATGTCTGGACTCATCTTTAGAGAAAATGATTAAAATGGTGTGAGGATGGGCCCAGACATGAGTGGGAGGGGGGGGTCAGGGAACTGGGGTCATACTCAGTGGTTCTCAGGGCTTACTCCTGTCTCTGTCCTCAGGGATCACTCATGGTGGGGCTTAAGGGACCCTATGGGGTGCCGGGGATTGACCCTGCAAGCACCCTACCCGCTGTCCCGTCTCTCTTCGTCCCAAGACATAAGTATTTTGAAAGCTCAAGTGACTTGAATGTGTTTACCCAGGGTTGAGAACCAGCCACCACTCTCGCATCTCTGACTGCTTCAAATTCTTTTAAAAGGGAAAGAAAGATGGCGGCCGCACGGGAGCCTTGTGGAAAGCAGGTCTGAGCCGGGGCTGGCAGGAGCGGCAGGGACCTCATGGGAAGGGGGGCTTTGTGGGCCGTCCCCCATGCCCCACCGAGGTCGCCAGCTGCCCCCCACGAGCGGCTCTCCGGCACGGCCATGGCCCCGGAGGCACAAGGACTTAGCACAGAGAACCAGCCGCTTGGAGCAGAAAAGCAAATGGACTTGTGTTGAACCGTGCCACCAAGCCTGCCCGGAGGGGAAAGGGCGTTGACCGGCCCGCCCGCTCCTCTCTGGAAAGAAAGATGGCGGCTGCACGGGAGCCTTGTGGAAAGCAGGTCTGAGCCGGGGCTGGTGGGAGCGGCAGGGACCTCATGGGAAGGGGGGCTTTGTGGGCCGTCCCCCACGCCCCACCGAGGTCGCCAGCTGCCCCCCACGAGCAGCTCTCCGGCATGGCCACGACTCCAGGGCACAGAAACCAATCTCTTAACTAGCTAACTTTTAATAGAAATTCTTCCAGGGTCAATAAGTAAAATAGCAGAAATTCAAATCCGCGCGGCCGCTATTGCGGCCGCGCGACATCATTTTATTCTTAAACCAAGTTGTAGAAAGCAAATCATTTCACAACGCTGTTTCAGCATGTCTGATTGTGGGGGGTGGGTCGTAAACTCTAAACAATAATTGTGCATCTTCTATCGAAATAATCTATCTAGTCAAATTAGATAGATTATTAACTAGAACTTATCTGCCTCACAAGAACTGGGAGGGGTGGGAGGTGGGGGTCTATTGGGGTTTGGGGTTAAAAATGAGTATTGGTAAAGGGAAATGTGTTTGGTATCTACATGACTGAGACCTAAACCCGAAAGCTCTGTAACTTTTCCCACAGTGATTCAATAAATAAATAAATTATAAAAAAAAAAAAAACCAAATTCTTTTAAAAATATACAGAAGAGACTTCCAGCCACTGAGCTGAGAGATGTGATGTCCCCAAGCAGGAGCTCTGGTCATGGGCTGCTTCTCTCAGACTCCTCCTGGCAAAGCACCCAAACTACACCCTAATTTCCTGAGGAGACATTGATTCCATCCCTAATGTTTTAATACAATTGCCCCCTAACCAAGAATCATCGGAGAGGCAATAAGAGGTGAACTTTGAGGAAGAGCAACATTACTCAGCTATTCACTTACCGAATCAAGTAAATTTCATTTTGCTGTTGACCAAGGGCCAAAGACCTGCCTCAAACAAAAGCAAAGATGCAGGAGCAAGTGTCTCTAGTATGACAACTGCTGGTAAAGCCGTCCCTGTCTGCCCCATCCAGAGATGAATGTCTTCCCTGCTTTCAGGAGGCGAATTTCACTACAGGTATATTGAGAGTGTGCACACTTTCGTGGCATTCCGTTCTCTCATGAATAGATTCCACAGGCTAAGATGGTCATTCTCAACATACACACACACACACACACAGAAAGAGAGAGAGAGAGAGAGAGAGAGAGAGAGAGAGAGAGAGAGAGAGAGAGAGAGAGAGAAGAGAAAGAGACAGAGAGAACAGCGAATCAAGAACAGAGTGAATGTATTTCAAGTTATTTGTCAAATACTTTTATGTTGTCACAAGAAACTTGGAACCTGACATTTCTAGTACCATCTTGTCAGCTCACTTCTGTGTTTATAGGCGTTTGATAGTGAATTTTTCCCCCCTGGAAAAATTCTTGCACACTCAGCATTTTACTGTTATAAACTACCAAGCCGTGGGATTTTCTTTTGTCGAGTAAAATAGTTTTATTGAGGAAGCATGACAGAGGAGAGGAGAGGGAACCCCTTCAAAGAGGTGAATGATGCACCCCAAGCTGTGCAGTGGGAGAGCTGGGGTGGAGTGTGTGGGCGTCTGAGACACAGGGAAGTTCCAGACTCCAGCTGCAGTCAGACCCTGACCATCTCTCTCAGCACGATTTGCTCTCTTTGATAGAATATCTGAGATGACTGCTGGACTAGAGCCGTTACTGACTGGATTCCACGGGATGTCAAAAGATCACGTGGCCACCCATCTACGAGATGGTCAGACTTCTTCGCCAAGACCCTGAACAATCAGTTTGAGGCTCTTCATGTTCCTGGAGCGAGCAGACGCCATTGGGCTACACTAGCATGCGACAGGGACAAATGGAGACGTTACTGGTGCCTGCTCGAGCAAATATATGAGTAATGGGATGTCAAGTGATCAAGTGATAGAATATCTGAATTCCAAAAAGACGCTTCAAAGAATCTCTTTGCTGTTCTGGTTGTTGGTGTTTTGGGCCAACCCCCGCTGTGTTCAGGGTTTATTTCTGGCTCTGTACTCAGGGGTCACTCCTGGTGATACTCAAGGATCCACCGAAGTGCTGGGGGTTGAGTCCAGGTCAGCAACATAGAAGGCAGTGCCCTGCCCCTGGTCTCTGCTTCCAAGAATCTCGACTGCGGTGTCATCTCAGACATCCCGTGGAACCCAGTGAGACCCGGGCCCTTCCCCACCATCTTTGTAACCCCTTTTGGTGCTGTGGTGCCAGGAGAGGCATTCCGGAGTGCAGGGCTTGCTCACATCTGCTTGTGGGGTGCCAGGGATCCCACTTCTTTGTTGTGGCACCAGTTTCCCCAAGGGCAGTATCCCCTGGGTTCCAGTGAGCACACGGGTCAGCCCAGGGCCCAGCTACTGGCAGGCAGGGGCTTTCCCTCACAGCGGACCTCATTGACATGCTTGTGGAGGCTGAAGAAGAGAACCTGAGGCACAGCACTACACATTCAGTGCCTTCTAGCTGGCGTGCATGTGTGTGCGGGTACATGCATACATGTCTGGGTGCATCTGTGTGGGCATGTGAATGTGTGCCTGTGGGTGCATGCATGTGTGTGCAGGCATGTGCATGTGTGAGCATGTGGATGTGTGCATGTAGATTCATGCACGTGTATGGGGTGCGTGCATGTGTGTGCACATGCATACTTGTGTGTGGGCATATGAATGCATGCACATGGTTGCAAGCACGCGTGGGGGTATTCACATGCATGTATGCGTGTGGGCACACAGGTGGGCACATGTGCCTGTGGCATGTGAATCTGTGCACGTGGGTTCGTGTGTGTACAGAGGTGCGTGCATGTTTGTGTGCAGGCAAGTGCATGCAGGTGCACGCACGCCTGGCAGTGCACATACAATACTCCGATGCGAAGAGGCTGTTTTAGCAGCTCTTCACTGCTTGTGCTCAGAGTCGAGCAAACATGAGAGCTGTGCCACCGGCCCATCTCTCCACTTCAGAGCCAGGGAATCGTCTCGAAGGAGTCAGAAATGGCAGAGTGGGAGAGCTGAGCACGGCGGGGCCGGGTTTGCAGAATGAATATTGAGTACCTAAGTCATGAGAAATGCGTTCTCCAGTGACGAGTGAGACAGCAGCTCTTGATGACCTGAGAGCAGGCAAAGCCCATGCCAGCTCAGGCCCCGTCCTGTGTAAAGGGTGGAGCTGCCGGACTGTGGAGTTATACTTGCAGAATGGAAGTAACTTTTAGGAAATAAGCCTAGAAGTCAAGACAACACTCTCCCCTCACCAGGTGAGGACTCTAGGGTGCACAAAAATAAAGCTGGATTAGAATTTGGAAATGGAAAAAAAAGAAATTCCTAGAAAATAATAACTGCTTATTGCCAATCCAACTCCTTTGGAATTTGGGATTGGGGAGGGGTCCGTCCAGTGGTGCTCAGGGTCTACTCCCTGGTTTGTGCTCAGATTCACCCCTGCTGGGGTTCAGGGGACCCTATAGGGTGCTGGGATCAGCCATGCGCAAGGCAAACCTGCTATACAATCTCCCCACCCCCCAGTTCCTTGTAATTTAACAAGACATGCTTTGACGGCACCAGGCAGAAGAGAAACAGCTTTAGGAAAAGATTTTCTTCCCAAGAGGTTTTATTTAAAAATTCAAGATCCATCCAACACGTATTAACACCTTGTCTGTGTGGTGCTAGAGGAGGCGACTCTGGAGGTGAGAGCCAGCAAAAGGTTCAACTGTGCCTCCTCCTGCTCCTCACTCCAGTCAGGCCAGTCCCCACCCCCCAGAAGCCTGCTTCACTCCGCTTAGAGAACGTGATCTCTTCAGCGTCTGCACAGAGCAAGAGGGAAATAGGATAAACAAGACCACAGACAGAAAATAAGAGGCTGCTGGGGGCTGGACCTCGGTGGTGGTTGGAAATACTCTGAAAAAACACAGAGCGTCGTTGAAATGAGTGGTATGCCCCAAAGGGGACAATCTGCAATCTGCAAGGGCGCCCCAATAAAGCTGCTAATTATAACGAATCATGCACGTGTAGCATTCGGGCCAGGAATGTGTCTGCTTAGAGGGGAGGGAGACAAGCACACGCGTCACAAGGCTGTTTCGAATTCCTTCAGCTTTAATTGTGGGGTGCGAGCGGGCGGCCACTGAGGGGAGGCAGCGCCTGGGAGCGCCCACCGTGCGTCTGGCGTGAGGTGGACGTGGCGAGGGACGTGTCTCCTTGGCCGCAGGTGGGCACGACGCTGTCTTCACTCTTCCAGGGTTTCCTTCTTCCCAGTCTCCTGCCCTTCGAAGAGCGGGTACCTGGCCTCCACGTCAGCCCACGTGAGGGTGCCGTTGGCCAGGTCTCGGACCATGCCCGGCAGCTCCGAGACCTGAGGGGGGAAACAAGACCCTGATCAACCAACTGGAGGCAACGGGCGGAGAAGCTGCATCCTCCCACTCACGCCCACCCCAGTGAAGGTCCTGAGAGAACTGCCCATGCCTCCCTCACAGCCCGGCCCATGCTCTGCTCCCCGTCGGAAAGCAGCCCTGGAGAATGTGATTCGCCCACCAAGCTCTCCCAGTCACACCCAGGTTTCTTATCACCACAGGAGCGGCCAGGCCTCAGCACTGAAAGGAACATGGCCGACTGTGGAGACCCCAGACATTGATGACTCAATGTTGGCTGCCACGTGAAAATTGTCCTTAGGCTGCGGTGTGCCCCAGAATTGTCCAGAGGTTCTATGCGAACTGTTGCCCCCCCCTAAACTCCCTCCCCACCTCAACAGGAACTTTGTGATACTATGTCTGAGGGGGGGTCCACTGTGTCTGAGGGGGTCCACTGTGTCTGAGCAGGTCCACTGTGTGTGAGGGAGTCTACTGAGTCTGAGGGCATTCACTTTGTCTGAGGGGTCCATTGTGCCTGAGGGGGTCCGCTGTGTCTGAGGGGGCTCACTGTGTCTGAGGGGGGTCCACTGTGTCTGAGCAGGTCCACTGTGCATGAGGGGGGCCATTGTGTCTGAGGGCGTCCACTGTGTTTGAGGGGTCCATTGTGTCTGAGGGGGTCCACTGTGTCTGAGGGGGTCCAGAGCAGAAAGCACTGAGCTGACAAGCAACCAGCTGGCACTACTGAGGGGCCCAGGACACTGGAGTCCGGGTCAGCTCCCACCAGCAGTGTAGAAAGAGAAGCCAAAGCCTGTGACTTCCGAATCAGAGCAGAAACGGACGTATACATCAGGATAGAAACTGCTTGGGGAAAAGCAACCATTTACTCTGCTTCCTCCATTACTCTGCAGTAAACTGAGCACACAGCAGACATGTTGAATAAAAGACGGCACTGGTGTAACAGTACAGCGAGTATAGTGGGCAGGGCATCCCAGATGGTCCCCCAAGTCTGCCGGGAGTGATTCCTGGGCGCAGAGCGGGGGTAAGCCCTGAGCACCACTGGGTGTGGCCCCAAAACAAAGAAAGCAAACAGCATAAAACTGGCCAAAATTCATAAACAAGTCAGGCGCCACCTGTCAACTCAAGAGACTTCGCTTCTTATTCTGGGGACACCGCAGCAGTGCTCAGGAGACCATATGTGGTACTGGGGATCTCACTGGGGGTGGCGTGTGCAAGGTGACCGAAGGCTCCTGCCTCTCTGGCCCCACGAGCCCTCTCTGCCCCCTCACCTTCACTACTCCCCCATCTCCATGATTCCTTCCCTGTGAAGTAAGGCTGCTGGCACATTACCCACTGCTCTGAACTAATGCAGAGGAGCTTTGACTTCACGCAGAAACACAAACATGAAAATGTCAGAAGCCTTTGAATCCTGCCAATAAAAACTATGGCAACTACCACCTGGGATCAGAGCGTTCCTGCCCAAATAAACAAACAACTACAAAAGCAAACTGCTGGAGAAGGAGTCAGCCCGGGCTACCACATATTAGAGCTGCATTCATAGATATTTTCAAAATTAAACCACAGGGATTTGGGAATCGATGCTCTGTGTGATACAAGCTGGATTAAAATTTGAAAAAAAAAAAAAGAAAAAAGAAAGGAAGAGAGAGTGTGAAAAAACCAAGGAAGGAAGGGAAGCCTAAATCCATCCAAACCCCAGCACTCAGGGTATAGGATCAAGACGCCAAGAGGGGCCGTACCTCGGCTCTGATCTGCCGCATGGAGTCCCGGTCGCGCAGGGTGGCGGTGTGAGGGGTCTTGTTCACGGTGTCAAAGTCGATGGTGATGCCGAAGGCCACCCCGATCTCATCCGTCCTGGCGTAGCGTCTCCCGATGGACCCCGAGGAGTCGTCGACTTTGTGGGAGACGCCGTTCCTGGTGAGGGCGTCGGCTGGGGAGGCAGAGGGAGGGAGTGAGGAACCAGACCCCGCAGACACACAGGGTGCTCAGGGCACCTCGAGGTGGTCTCACCTGCTTAGGAAACTTGAGGGACAAAGGGTGGTAAACTACGGTGGCAAGAAACAGAAAATCGCCCCCGTTTCACAAGGCCCTGGCTAGAGCCCCCACAACTGACCCCACTGCAGGTGGGGGGAGAAAGTTCCCCGCAGGCCCAGAGCCCTTCCTGGCTTCGTCCCGTCCCCCGCCAACAATGCCTCAAGCCACTCAAGGACCTGTCCCTCTTCCCAAACTTGAGGGTGCCCCAAGGGACCTTCCTGGGCCCTGGGCCCATTAAGTGGCTTCAAGTTCACTGGGTTGGTCCCAGGAGAGGAAAGCACTGAGGTCAGTCAGGGAGGGAAACGGCCCGAGCAAGCAACTGCACCCCAGAAAGGCAGAAGCGAACATCTCGGCCACTCCTTCTTGCTCTAGGAATATTTACCAGGGGAAAATAATGGCCCATTTCCTACGACCCAGCTGCTCGCCAGCGTTCCCATGGAGATGCCCCCAATCGGATTTACTTACACAGTTCCCGGACGAAGGGCATGAACTCCTGGTTCTGACTCAGTGGAAGGACAGAGCATTTGAATGGAGCTACGACGGCCGGGAAACTGAAGAACTAAATGGTTTAAAGGAGAGAGCGAGACTAGCACGTCAGCTTATGAAGATCTAAACGTTAGGTCTTCGCTATCAAAATACCAGAAAACATGATTTGGAAAGCAGTATGTATGTCAAAAGAGAAAAGACAGGATAACCAGAGCAGAATGAGAACGCTGTATTTCAGCTCTGATTTCAGCTCTGACTACAGATCAACACAGAAATCTCTCTCTCTCTCCCTCCCTCCCTCCCTCCCTCTCAGCTTCTCAACTGAAACCATCTGCACTGCTTACTTCAGAGGTATGTGACGATCAATGAAATGGCACAGAAGCATTCTGAAAGCTACACAGAGAACAAAAATTATTTTAGCATTACATAAAAGCCTCCCTTCTTTCTGAAGACCCTTTAAAGCACCTCTCCCAAATTCGTCGAATAACGTGTCAGTACCAAGCAAAGAATTCCGATGCCTCTGGGCCCCTCAGCATAGCAGAAGGATCTCTGAGGTGACCAAGTGAGAGAGAAGTCTGATGATCGCATGTCTACAGACCACAGACTTCAAAGCAAAACTGTTCTGGGGTTGTTTTTATTTATTTTGGGGGTCACTCCTGGTGATGCTCTGGGCTTACTCCTGGCTCTGCACTCTTCTTCTGGAGGTACTTGTGGGGACCATACGGGAAGTCGGAGACTGAACCTGCTTCGGCCATGTGCAAGGCAAGCACCCTACCCACTGTCCTAATTCTCTGGCTCAGATGTTCTGTATTTTTATATGGAAAATTACAGCCCTCTGAAACTGCTCCTGAAATGAGGCGCAGAATTATTCAGAAATAAAACAGATATGCTGTGGAAAGCAAAGCCAGTCTGCCTGGGTGGAGAGACAACTGCACATCTGAGCATCTTCTTCGTACGCAGGAAGCCCAGGTTCGATTTCCAATACCGCACGGTCCCCTGCTCTGAGCCATGCTAGGTGTGGCACCCCCAAAAGACAGAATTTCTTTTTTTTTTTTTTTTTTTTTGCTACAGATTCCAAATTAACCCCTCAAAAGCCAAACTGAGTTTAAACATCAGGTACGAGTAAACCCGAGGCCCAGCCCAGAGGGCTGCCTGAAGGGAACAATCCGCACCTTCTCTTCCAGCTTGTTCTATTGAGCACAAGACTCGAGACCTGCCTTTACAGGAAAACAACATTCATCATCTCGCCGGCAATGTTTTAATACCAAAGTTGCATGAAAACAAATTAAGGAGCAACGTGCTGATGATACAGAGACAACTTCTGGTCTCCCCAAATCAAATCTCTCCTCCTGATGGGAATCTCTATGCAACCCTACAAAAATTCTATTGAAAATTTTACCAGGCTACACCAATGGCTAAGATCCACTGCTTCACGACTGAGATCCACAGAAACGCCAAATTGCCAAACACTTCAGGTACACTGCAGTTTTTTGTCTGAAAACCCCAGGCTTCTCAGAGTGGGGGTGGGTGACTCCCCACAGACCCTGCCCCTGTACTTCTGGAAGGCTCAGCAGCCACACCCATGTTCCACCACCGCCACCCGTAAGCTCAATGCCCAGTTACATAATCTGGATTTTTCTGGAGAGGCATCTTCAAACTCTGTAATACCAACATCCCAGCAGGAGCACACCAGATTAACGCGCTGTAACGAAGAAGCCAGCCAAGCTCGACTAACAGAAACAATGCAGAAGGCTCACTAGCAGCACAGCCTAGTCAACCCTTACATAAAGACCTAATGACCCCATGGTAAGATAAAACAATTTTCACAAATTTTCTTTTACTGAAGTTTTTTTTTTTTTTTAAGCATTCCATTAGCCATTTAGTCACTGTAACTGTTGTCCCGTTGTTCACTGATTTGCTTGAGCGGGTCCAGTAACGTCTTCATTGTGAGACTTGTTGTTACTGTGTTTGGCATATCGAATATGTCACGGGTAGCTTGCCAGGCTTTGCCGTGCGGGTGAGATACTCTCAGTAGCTTGCCGGGCTCTCTCAGAGGGGCGGAAGAATCGAACCCGGGTCACCCAGGTTGGCGGTGTGCAAGGCAAACACCCTACCTGCAAGCAATATAAATTATTCTGGGCCTGCTACAGGGGCAGACTTGAGGGGTGGTTGGGAAAATGAGGACAATGGGGGAGGGAAGGTGACAGTGGTGGTAGGATTGGGGATGGAATATTGAATGCCTGTCACAAATTACCACGAACAACTTTGTAAACCATGGTGTTTAAATAAAGTGGAAAAAATAGTAAAAAAAAAAACCCAACAGCACAAAACAATTTTTATAATAAACAGGGTCTAGAGAGATAATACAGTAGGTAGTACCCTGAGCCCTGGTAGGAGTAATTCCTGAGTGCAGTGCCAGGAGTCAGCCCTGAGCACTGCCGGGTATGACCCCAAAACAAAACAAATCCTAAAAACAAAAAAAACAAGGAAAAGCTTAAAACCAACTTGACAACTATAAACAGTCCTGGGTTACACGTGCTGCTGACATGTGCAGACTGCACAGTTCTACGTGCTGTGCTGCTCGAGAAGTACCCGGACTCCGCAGAAGGCCTGATGTCTGGTCCAGGTCCTTACTGTCTGCAGAAGGCACAGCTAATCCTTAAATTTCAAGAAATAATGGTGCAACTTTAGGGCAGGGATGAAAATAATAGTCTTATACTACATGTTACCAAATCATGTCAGACTTTTAAAAGCAGTAGCACCAAGCAGCCTGCTCATTCTGTGAGGTTAAACGCCAAGAAAGAACTGCAGAGTGGGGCCGGTGAGATAGTACAGTAGGCAGGGCACCTGCCATGCAAGTGAGGTGACCCGGAATCCCATACGGTCCCGCAGACACTGCCAGAAGGAATTCTGGGGTACAGAGCCAGGTGTAGCCCTTGGGCAACCCTAGGTGTGGACCCCAAACCAAAATTAAAAACAAAAAATTGCAGTGCGACGTGCAATGACGGGCCCATCACACTCTGCTTTGGAACAGCCACGAACTCAAACTTTTAATCTGTTTGCCGTGACCTTTCCTTTCCGGCCTTTCTTCTGTTTGCTTTTCCTAGAAATCCAGCCTGAAACTATTTCTGTGGGCAGAGGCTTATGAATAAGCAAGACGAAGTAATAAAGAGTGAGGAGATGAAGCAGAAGTCAAAGGACAGAGATGATGAGACATCAGAAAGGCAGGAAAAGAAAAGTTCGGAGGAGCTGAACACTATTTTTTTTTAATCAGGTGTCTGTTTTCAGCAATACACGAGTCTAGGAAAGGCTGTATCCCAAATATGTTAATGTTGACCTCCCCAAGAGGATCGTGGAGAGAATACAGACAGTGGGTCTCAAACCTAACGAATCCATCAGTGTATCTCTGAGGACAGGCCTAGGAGTCTCTGTCTTTACTTTAGAACCGTCTCAACCATTTTACGCAATCTGACATGGTCCTCTCTACTGCTTTACTGGTGCACAGACACAATTTTCTGGTCTGGCCACATTCTAGAAGCCATCTCTTCACTCCCAACTTTCTGCAAACCTGAGAGCACCTTTCTCTCTTCCTAGTGATGTTCCACAGACAGTGCCTGCACAGGCGGCAAGGAGGACAAAGGCACCAAGATGAACAGCACGCCCTTGCGCTGAAGCAGGATCCTCAACAGTGCTTTTCCTCATCCGCAGGCCAGCAGAAGTGAGTGCTGACCCTGCCGGCACATGGCAACACTGACCCCGGTCACTCTGGGGTCTGACTACTGCCTGTCAGCAGAGACTGAGACGTTCTTCTCTGGCAGGGGACGGGCTACTCACCGTTCTCTGCTCATCCCCCTCTCGGACGTGGAAAGTGTGCTCAAACACCGTGTACATGATCCTGCCCAGGCCGAAGGAGGGCTCGATGACATTTGGGACGACTTCTTCCACTGTAAGAGACAGCAACTCAGTAATGTTTTCAGCACCAACACAAGGCACTTCCTACCAACACTCTATCTGCATTTTATCTCTATTACTTTTTTGGGGTTTTTTTTTGGGGGGGGCACACCTGGCAGGGCTCAGGGGACCATATGGGGTGCTGGGGATCGAACTAAGGTCAGCTGCATGCCAAACAACTGCCCTGCCTGCTGTACTATTACTCTAACCCTTCACTCCCTATTTCTGTCTTCATTTTTGATAGATTCTGAGCCATCCTGCACATCAGAGCAAGAAATCATAACACTCCTGAAAAACAATTTTCTAGCAGTGGAGAACCTTGAAAAAAAAAGAAAAAAAGAAAAAGTGAAGTAAAGGTCAATGACAAAATTTAATTAACTCATTTCTACAGCACAAGAATAAAAGCAGAGCTGCTTTTAACAGTCACTACGTATTTTCTCTCACCTGCTCTGCCTACCTCTACCCAGAAAGCAGAAAACTTGATCTTTTGTTTGCTTGGGGCCCCAAACCCCAAAATGAACAAAACCGCTACCCCCCAAAACAACCTGCCAGACACCGTCCAGGTCTCAGGTAACTGATGTGAACCCTGGAGAGTTGACGCTTTAAGGGAAACGAGACCAACCAGACCCTGGCACTCACGTATGTGAGGCTGTTCCTTTTGTCCATCCTGAGGATTTTGCTAATAATGCTAATGACAGTTCAGAAACAGAACCAAGGCACGATCTGCCGCTCCTTGCAGGGCATCTAAACAATCAAGTGCGGCTCTGGACCAGATGCCAGTACAGCGGCTACAAAGCCCCGGCGTGTGGCAAAGGCCCCTTCGCCCACTCCTGCCTCTGCTCCTACCCTTCCTGCTTTTCACTGCCAGCTCCAAGCAGCAAGCCAAGCCCAGTGGGGAAGGCGGCTGCTGCAGCCGCCCCTGGCCGGCTTCCGTCTGGCCAGAGCCGACTGCAGGCACGCTTCACAGACGCTTGAAACACTCCACAACGCAAAGAATTTGCTCTACAAACAGCAATCATTCACTTGGCTTTCAAAAAAGCACGCCAGAACCTGGCTTTCTGCCATAATACATTACCAGGAGGGGTTCAAGCTCAGCGAAAGGATTCAGAAGGAGGAAGTTGCGGGTCGGGGGACCACACTCATTTGTGGTGTGCAGAAAGGGATACCGCGAGGGAAGGGGTGATGTCCAGTGGAGACAAACCCTTTGACTCTGACCAAAGAACTGAGGGGCCAAGCCAGGGGTGAGGAAGAAAGAGGGCGGGAGGGCTTAACGGACCACAGTGGAGGGTACTGGCATCTTGGTGGTGGGTCTGGTAGGGTAATACTATCCCCCCTAAAACATGTACACGTTTACACTCATATGCACCAATGTGACCTCAATTTAAAAATAAAACAAAAAGGGATGAATGGTCACCAAGTCACTGTTCAGTGTGTTCATCTGTTCAATCAAAGGCGAAAAGGAGAAAGTTCTGTTTACCACTCAAGAAGCAAAAAACAATTACTTCCTAAATGTGGGGGAAAAAATCAGAATTTTTAAAAGTCAGACACAGAATTCATGTGCACTTCCTACCACAGGAAATAAAAATGTGGCATTATCCATTACTCATCGGGATGAGTGCAGTTACGTTTCAAAAAGAAAAGGGCCAAGATAATGCCTCACACACAGCCTCGACGTTGTTAGGTCTGCGGCATTAAGACTCACTTTCACCTTCAGATTTGCTGCAAAAGCCAAGTTACAGGGTCCCAGGGGAGGGCCCAGCGGCTGAAGCGCCCATCCTGCCAGCTGAGGCTGGGGGCACCAAGCAGTCCTGGGGAACCACCAGGAGCAGACATGTGGCCGCGGTATGGCCAGGCATATGCGAGCACTGCGGGTGGAGGGCAACCCCAGCAAGCCTGGGTGAGCACGGGAAATGACATGGGGGACCCCACTGCTCCCAGCAAGCACACTGACAAGCCAGCCACACCCAGGTGTGACACCCCCGCCCCCAAAGCACAGCAAGGCAGCCAGAGGGAGGGAGGGAGGGAAGGGGCTCAGTCTGACAGATACTTCAGGGGTAATGATGCTCCCTTCGTTATTTGCACACATTTACCATGTAATGTTTTCGAGAATCTCTTCACACTGACCATGTCTCGGGTTAACTGAAACGTTTTCCCTTCAGTTTCAATGGTGAATTCACTACAAAGAAAGGAAACGTTACACATTAGTTCACACGTCTTTTCCTTTAATGCCTGTATGACAAGAGCTGTACAGGCTGCCGAACTGCTTCACTTCAAGTATGATAACTGCAGTCAGATTTAAACTATTTTACGCAGAAGGCCAAATTAAGTGTTAGTCTAACAATTACACCAAACAATATTTTGGGAGATATCCCAAGATAAAACTCTTTTCCTTAAATTGGGGCCAGAGAGACAGTATAAAGGGCAAGGTGCTTGCACTTTACGTGACTTACCTGGGTTCGATCCTTGAGCACCACCAGGTGCAGCCCCTCCCCCCCAAAAAAATAAAAAAAAAAATTGTCAAGTAGTTTAATGACCAATTCTTTTGGTTTTAAGAACAAGATAAGACCTCAAATTTGCATTTAAAAAAATTCCAGCTTTAGAATAATCACAATACATGTATCAGAAATAGGCCTGCTGGAAAACTGAACGGACTATGCGTTAATCCACGCCATCATGTCTGCCCGGAGGGGAAAGGGGTGTTGCTCCCTTCCGCCCTCCCCCCCTCTGGAGAGAAAGATGGCGCCGCCTGGGAGCCTTGTGGAGAGCAGGTATGAGCCGGGGGCGATGGGGCGACTAAAACCTCACGGGAAGGGGGGCGTTATGGCCGGTCCTTCACGCCCTACCGAGTTCATCAGTTGCCCCCCACGAGCGGCTCTCCGGCACGGCCATGGCTCCAGAGCACAGAAACCAATCTCTTAATTATCTGACTCTCAGCAGAAATACTTCCAGAGTTAATAAGTAAAATAGCAGAAATCCAAAACCATTTGGACATCTTTTAATTCTTGAACCCAGCTGTAGAAAGCAAATCATTTCACAATGCCTTTTCAGCATGTCTGATTTGGGGGTGTAAACTCTAAATAATAATGGTGCATCTTTTATCAAAACAATGAATCTAGTCAAAGTAGATAGAGTGTTAACTAAAATTCATCTGCCCCACAGGCATTGGGGGGTGTGGGGGGTGGGGGTTTATTGGGGTTCTTCGTGGCGAAAAATAAGTATTGGTAAAGGGAAATGTGTTTGATATTTGTATGACCGAGACCTAAACCTGAAAGCTTTGTAACTTTTCCCACAGTGATTCAATAAATAAATAAATTATTAAAAAAAAAAAAAAGAAATAGGCCTGCTGGCAAAAGACTACTTCTATTGTTTCAAGACATATAAAAAAAATTCCCATTATTGTCCTAACAAATAGAAACAATGATCAGTTTGTCATCAGAATGCAATTTGATTTTTCTATTTTTTTTTTGTGCTCACAGGGATTGAACCCGGGATCAAGCAGGCAGAACATATATTATCACTGAGTCATATCTGCGACCAGAATTTTGAAAATTCCCACATAAAAGCAGCTTCTTTATTCTACTTGGTACATGAATATAAAGTACTACTTCCCCTGAAGTCATGAGCTGCGATATTTTGAGAGACGTCTGCCCCATTTAAAGTTGTAAGAATTTACCTTTTTTATTTTAGCTAGGGCTGGAGCGATAGCACAGCGGGTAGGGCATTCGCCTTATAAGCAACCAACATGGCCGACCCGAGTTCGATTCCTCCGCCCCTCTCGGAGAGCCCGGCAAGCTACCGAGAGTATTCGATATGCCAGACACAGTAACAACAAAGTCTCCAATGGAGACGTTACTGGGTCCGCTCGAGCAAATCGACGATCAACGGGAGGGCCTTTACCTTTACCTTTACCTATTTTAGCTAGCTATTTAATGTTATTTGGGCCTGCTCAGCAGTGCAAAGGGCATACTCCTGGCTCTGTGCTCAGAGATGACTCCTGGCAGTGCTCGGGGGACCATATGTAGTGTTAGGGATCAAACTTGGGTTGGCCGTAGGCAAAGCAAGTGCCTTATCCTTGTACGGTCTCTCTGGCCCCCATGAGTTCCCTTTTTTAATAAAGTGACGTACTAGTACCTGTATTTGTTTCTGAGGTGTATTTTTTCTCTGAGGAAGATCAAACTAGATGTTCCTGTTGTCTTAAGCAGTTCAGTGCTAGAGAACAAGAGCCCTCATGTGGCTGTTTTGAGAGTGGTAAAGTGGTCCATGTTTTGCTACTTCCTTCCTTTCTTGTTTTCAACGAACTAATTTACTTTGATTTGGAGACCACACCTGGCAACGCTCAAGGTTTACTGCTGGCTCTATGCTCAGGGATCATTCCTGACGGTGCTCAGGGGAGGCTGGGGATCGAACTTGGATCCGCTGCATACGAGGCAAGAGCCCTAACTGCTGCACTAGAGCTCTGGCCCCTGTCCCACTTGTTTCAAGAGCAATACTGGACTCTTAGGAGTCAAGTAGTCTCCATTCACTTCCCAACTGCATCACTCTGTTGGAAGTTTATGTGGGCATGCAACTGAGTCGCATGTATAAACTGTGTCATGTTTATCTTCTCAGAGGGAAGATGAGCTGAAATTAGCATGAAAAAACAAACACTATTATCGGGGAAAAATTAATAAGAGAGACCACCTTGTTCGTGGATAATGATACCTAACTAGAGTGGCATGTCCATTTAAATGGGATTCAGCGGTTTAGCATAAACAGGTCCTAAATTCCCGAGGACCAGCTATGATTTACAATTTTCCTTCTAAAATTTTCCTTTGGCTTTTAGGACAAACCTAGACAGACACGTCCGGCCACCATTCCAAAGGTTCCGTGCGTCCCTCCTCTTTCAACCCCCTACTCGCCCTCTGCTCATCTGCTCTCCACCTTCACTATCACTAGGTTTGTCTTTTTGTTTTCCAGACATTAACAGCGAGTAGTCCCTGGTGTAAGGCCTCTCTTTGTAGACTAATGTCCATGGCAGGTGGGCAAATGTTCTATAAAGAGCCAGATAATGAACATCTCAGGTTTGCAGCCACATAAGGTCTTTCATACTCTGCTTTTGGAAACAGTGTCCTTGACAGTGTCAAGCTTGGGAGGGTGAGAAGGCGCGAGCCGTGGAGCACAGGCTCAGCATCTGCTCACACACAGGCCCCAGAGCACCTCTGGGAGTGGCCGCCATAAAAAAGAAAAAAATAGTAATAAAAATAATAAGTCAGTTACTTAAAGAAATTGCTCCTACCCGTGATGTATTCCATATGCCAAACACAATAACAACAAAGTCTCCAGTGGAGACGTTACTGGGCCTGCTCGAGCAAATCGATGAACAACGGGAGGAAAGTGACAGTGACAGTGACTTAAAGAAAAGTAAGTACAAGACACATTCTTAGCTGCAAGGCTAAGCAAGAAATAGTGCAAAAGATGTTTCAAGTGCACTTTAAAAATGTGGACTCTGGTTACTGGGTATTCTATAAACGACAAGACGATTAGCGGCACAGAACGCTTCAAATACCTACTGACTTCTTGTCTGCTTGCACTCCAATTACCGAGAGGAGTGCAGAGGGAACTATAATTAGAGATGTGATCGGTTTTCCTTTCAGTTCTCTCTCACCTATGCCAGGAGGTCCTGCTCTCAGCTGCCCACACAGTATGAGGCTGCTATGATGAACTGACCCCTTTTATCGTGGGGGAAATGCAGTTTTTACCGTTGGCAATTTCCTGTGCTCTGAAGTTTACTTTGTCTACTCTGGAGAGTCGCTCTTTCTGATGGCCATAAGGAGAAACATCTTGACTCTTTTACTTTTAAACCTTTGTGTAATAAATTAGTGATCTGGGGCAGGAGCGTCTCTGCTCTGCGTGCAGGTATCTATACTCAGTCTCTGGAGCACACTGTTCCCCAAGCATCACCCAGGTACAACCCGAGAACCACAGATGTGACCCTTTTCTCCTTTTTTTAAGAAAGAGAAAAATTAAATAGCTAGTTCCAAAAGTTAATTTACAACGTGTTTCCTATAAAGAGCATTAATTGGATCTTCACTTTTTACACCCATTACTGAACCAATAATGACGATAGTGTAGTTCTTGTTACTGAGTTTAAATCTACCACCTCACAAATCATTTTCTATTGGTCTGTTGATGTTATTAGTTTTCCTGTTGTCCTCTAGAGGTTTTTGTTTTTCTAAGGCTGGAGCGATAGCACAGCGGGTAGGGCATTCGCCTTATAAGCAACCAACATGGCCGACCCGAGTTCGATTCCTCCGCCCCTCTCGGAGAGCCCGGCAAGCTACCGAGAGTATTCGATATGCCAGACACAGTAACAACAAAGTCTCCAATGTAGACGTTACTGGGCCCGCTCGAGCAAATCGACGATCAACGGGAGGGCCTTTACCTTTACCTTTACCTTTAGGGTTTTTTAGGGCTTTTTGGGCTGCCAGCGTTCAAATGTAGACGCTTATACCTAAAATACATGTTATAACATTGAATTGCATCCTTGGTCCTTCCAGAGTTTTTCTATTATCGTTTTATCTCTGTTGTTTATTAGCTTAGCTCTATCCCTTTAGTTTTGAGTGTTCCCTCCCTCCCCCACCAGTAATGATTTTACATATTTGTTTTTTGATTTTGGGCCACACTGGCCCATTCTCTGGGGTTACTCCTGGCTCTGTATTAAGAATTACTCCTGGTGGTGCTCAGGGGACCATATGGGATGCTGGGGATAAAACCCAGGTCTGGCATGTGCAAGCAAGCACCTTATCCACTGTACTATCACTCCAGAAAAAAATATTCATTTTTTTTTAAGCACCACAGTCTACCTTCATATATCACACTACTCCACGGATCATGTATATACCTTACAACTCAGATTCCCAATTCTCTGACCCCATCCTTTGGGCCACTGATAGCATACACTTCACCTCTGGACGGTATGACTTTCACAATATGGATGTTTTTTGCTTTGGCAGATCTTAAAAAAAAAAAAAACAAACCCTGAGATGTCATTTTAAAGAAAATAAGGAATATGTTCCTTAAATTCACTCCCCATATCCTATCCAGAGCTCCCCATTCCTCACAGCAGACTAACCCACCACACTTCTGCCTGGAAACGTCCTTTAGCAACTTCTGTCGTGCCGGTCTGCCGTGTCCCCTCTGGAGGCAGTCTGTGCGGGGACAGGAATTCTGTCTGTGGCTACTTTGGTTTTGATTTTAGGGGCCGCAAACGGCAGGGGCTTACAGGGCACCAGGGCAGCACTGGGCATTCGAGGTGCTACCCAGTGCCAGGACAAACCCGGGGCATCACACACACACAAGGCACGGCCCGACTGCCTGGGCCATGCCACAGCCCATGCCTATGCCTCACAGGCAGCCATTCTACTGCTTGGTTATCTGTACTGCACTGCAGCTCACATGATCTGACAAGTATCGGAATCATTTCTTATCTTGCTCCTTTTATGGAATGTGCCCCCCCTGCCCTGGGCTCTCTGAAATTTCTGTTTTGATTTATTCACTTCCAGCACTTTTATTCTGATGTTATTGTTTTTATGTTTATACTACTCGGGGCTAAAATTCTTAAATCTGTAATTTGTAACTTACATCAAAGTTGGAAAACTTCCAGTTACTGTGTGTATCTCCAGACATTTTCTCTGTACAGCCTTCTCTACGAAACTCCCAATCTTACACATTAGGCTGCTCTGTGTGGTCCCAAAGGACAATCTATCTTTCTTTCTTTCTTTCTTTCAAAAGAAAGGTTTTCTTTTAGTTTTTGGGCCACACCTGGTGATGCCCAGGAGTCACACCTGGTGGTGCTCAATGGGATGCTGGGGATTGAACCCAGGCAGCCCTGTGCCAGGCGAGCCCCCTACCTGCTGTATGTCTCCAGTCCCACGACAATGTTTTTCCCTAGCCTTTCCCCATGACTCATTTTGGATAATTTCTTTTGCCACGTCTTTAAATTCAATGATCTTTCGTCTGTACTACTTTGCCTGCTACTCAGCACACTCAGGGCTATGTCCACCTGAGTCACTGGTACCAGAGAGCCTATGAGATTCTCAGCTAATGGCAAGTTTCCTTATGTCCTTGAAGATATGAAGAATATTTATAATCACTTCCGAATCCTTATGTACTTGTGCCACCATGTTTGTTATCCCTCGTGTGAGTGTTTTGTTGCTTTTGTGCTTGTTTTGGAAGAGGCGACATACCCAACTGAGCTGGGGGCTGCTCCTGACACAGTGCTCTGGGTTCCTCTGAGAGTCACTCTGACTAGTGCTCAAGGAAGTCTGGGGCTGTTCTGGGGACTGAACCTGTGGATCTTGCATGCAAAGTGTGTGCTACCATGCTTTGGGGTGTTTCCTGGGCCCACCCAGGTTGTTTCGGACTGCTTTTGCTCATCATGGTGGGTAGGATCTTTCTGTTTTAAAAAAATATCTAGTGATTTTTTTTTAAAAAATGGCAGGATATGGTAACGAAACATTTACATTGATAATGTCTTGTTATATTTCTTTAGAGGCTCTTCTCTATCATTTTTTAAAATGTAGGCTTAAAACAATTGTGCAGGCCATTCCAAAGCTAAACAAACAGAACAAAACCACACTGACATTTTAGGAGGAGAAATAAGCCTTTATAGTCCATCCCAAATCAATTTTTAGGTTGAAATGTCAACATCTCTGCCGAGTTCTTTAAATGCAGTCAAAAGTACTTACCTGAAAAAAAAATTCTGTTTTCCTAAAGAAATTAATGACAACCTAGTTTCTGAAGCTGGCAGGAGGGAGGGCATCGGCAGGAGCCCGCGTGAAAGCACAGAGCTTCTAGCTTACCCTTTCTCATCAAGAAGTTTCTCCATCTCTGTAATGTAGCACTCTTCACACGCGGCAAGGTACTCCATCACCAGCTTTGCGTCCTTCTTATATGCTCTGCCAACGGCGCCCTTATTGGGTTCAAACTGAACAACGTTGACCGTTTTGTATGAGGCAGTTAAGGAACCCAAAGATAAGGAACTGCTTTGATACAGTGAAAAATTAGTTAGAGATTGATCACCATTGAAAACAGCGACCAATTCTCTACCCCCTGCATGTCCTTTTATAAAAGTTCTGACTCTGTGCTCAGGTATTGCTCTTGGTGGGACTTGGAAGACCATATGGGATGTGGGGATCAAACCCAGGTCAGCTGAGCGTGAGGCAAGCACCCTACCTGCTGTACTATTGCTCTAGCCCCTCTCTACCCCCTCCTTCTTTTTTTCTTTTTGGGTCACACCCAGCGATGCACAGGGATTACTCCTGGTTCGGCAGTACCACTCAGGAATTACTCCTGGTGGTACCTGGGGGACCATATGGGAAGCCAGGGATCGAACCCAGGTCGGCTGTGTGCAAGGCAAATGACCTACCCGCTGTACTATCACTCCGGCCCCCTCTCCACCCCTTTTATGCTAATACTTCATGTACAGATGGGCACTACTGTTCATAAAATCATTCTAAATAGACACTGTCAATGGGGAGGTTATCGAAGTGAGACAAAAGAGAAAGGTATTTTCAGCAAAACAGTCCATATTCTATCCGCAGCACAGTAACCTGGTAACAATTTAATCTTTCCTACCGGATCTGGTTCCTGTCATTGGTCTGGAATGAATACCAGGACACAACTTACGTAAAGGAAGCAAATTTCTATTTTGCTGATTTATGGATCAAGCAAGCTAACCTGATTATTACTATTTTTTAAAAATCTTCCATGAAATAGCACCAATCTTCTTTTCACAGAGGAAGTACTGAACAGAGGCCTCTTAGTTAAAGGGCCAGGATTCTGGCTCAGTGAGAGCCTGGGGGTTGCATGTGTAAGACCCAGGGTTCAATTCCTAGCACTACCAGCTCTGGGGAAATGCAGTTTGGAAAAAAGGCAGAGAAAAACAGGTCAATATCCTCATACGTATTCAGGAGTATTTTTCCTCTACATCCCGATCATGGGGCAGGTCAGTAATGAGGACAGGAAAGAACCAAGACCATGGAGTGGGGTAAGATTTAAACCAACAGCACAGTATTCCAAACATCTCGGCTTTTCTACCGAACCAGGTGAGATGTCAGTCAGCCCTGAGTTTCCGGGGCGGCCAGGAAGGATATGGGCTCTTTCAGAGGTTTCTCAGCGACAAGTGGGACTTTGGTGGCTCGTGCATGACAAGAGAGGTCGTAACAGGAACGATCAGCACACCCGACAATCTCGATCCAGCCCTGAGAAGACATCGAAGGGGAAAGCACCAATTACTGACTCCCATTCTGTCACAAGCGCATGCATACCCTGCCCACGCTCATGTGGAACTCAAACACACGATTTTCATTCAAACTATGAATGTCTGACATGTCAGGCTGCTAATGACCCAAGAAAATATAATTCATAGTTTTGTTTTTGGGAGAGATTGATTTTGCCATTTGTGCAAGCAATCTTAAATTAATATAGTCTAGGACTGAATGATGGAAATAAAATGTGTACTTATATGAAACTTGATTTATTTTTCGGAATCTGTAATCAGGACTCAAGCGAATCTGGCAGGTGCCACTATTCCCAGTCCAGCAGGAAGTGTGTGAGCGCTGCTCCGGGCCCGGCCGTAGATGCCAGCTAGACCCACATCCGAGCTGGCCCTGAACTGGGTGTTTGTGCTCAGGCCCTTTCCCACCTGCCCGAAGAGACCCAAAGCGGGGCCCTCACTTTCACACTGGTTCTTCACTCAGATTCCTTTTCATTCCAAAGGTACTTATCAAAAGCAAAATCTAGAGGCGTTCGAGTTTTAAGTGTCTGTCTGTATTTCTGCATCTCCTCTGACTGTGAATGTAGATTGCTGAAAGGGTCACAGAATTCCTACTGTGGAAATAAGGCTTCTGAAAAGCCTTCAGGAAGGCAGAACCATTCTCTGGATTGTTTCCAGAGACTGTGGCTGGGAATGTGGCTTAGCGGTGGAGAGCAAGCCTTGCATGCCTGTGGCCCTGGCTTTGATCCCTGACACCCAAAAACATAAGATAAAATAACAACGAGTTACCTGGATGAGAATGAAGCAGCAAAAGGCTTATTTTATTAGATACCTATTAAGTCCTTCTCAATATTTATTTTGTTACCCCTGATACAAAGAGTTGGGGAAACTTCAAGCACCCGTAACTACTAAACCTTACAAATACTTGTTATCACAAGTTATCTTCAGGTTAAAAAGTCTCAGGTAAGCTCAAAAAAACCTGATATGTAGCAACAAAGAAATCTGGAGCTAGAGAGAGAATGGGGGCAAGGTGTTTGCTAGCACATGCCAACCCTGGGAACCAAGTGCTAGCACTCCACATGGTTCCCAAGCATCGCCAGGAGTGATCCCTGAGTGCCGAGCCAGGAGGCAGCCCCGAGCACTGCCGGGTATGGCCCAAAGACCAAAAACCAAAACAAAACCCATGTAGAGACTGGTGAGCATCTTTAGGAGAGTAGAGGGGAAAGATGGAGCATTAGCTCTCAGTAGCTATGTGAGGGTGTGTGTGGGTGGGTGAGAGGGCGGGGGCAGTGCTGCTGTGGGTTGTGTAAGGTCCCATGGGACCCCGAGGGAAATTCCAGAGCTAAGCTCTGCTAATTAGTAACTCTTCCTTACCTGCCTTGTAAAGCCTTGAGATGTAAATCCTGCCCCCTCCCTAGTAGAGCCCTGAGCTGTAAATCCTGCCTCCACTGTTGACTCTTCCTTATCTGCCCCTCCACTAGTAACTCTTCCCTATTCCACTCCACCGGAATGCAGGGGTCCTGAGCTGTAAATCACGGGGAGCCGGGTAGACATAGAAGATAACCAGATGTCTGAGTTACGAGATACCCGCTAGTCACAATACCCATGTACGTAAATGCTGATCTTTGAATCGATAGGCTAAGGAGTGATGTACTTTTAAATGGATTGGTTAAGAAAGTGTATGTGGTTACGAATCTACTGGCCATGAAAGCGCATGCATACCCTGCCCACGTTAAAGCGCGGGCTCTACTATAACGGCCAGTGAAGGCCTATATAAGATCTCCTTTGAAGAAGCTTGGGGTCTTGCCCAACGTGCGGGACCTGCGTGTCTGCGTAGGCAGCTCGACCCTGGCTAGCCAGTCTTCCAATAAACCTTGCTTGCTGTTTGCAGTCTCTGGAGTCTCTTTGTCGTTACAGGGAGATCACGATCCGTGTCCTAACAGTTGGACCTGGAGTCTCACACAAGCTAGGCGAGTGCTCTACTGCTAAGCCACACCTCTTGTCCTCAGTAACTTTTTCTTCTTATTCCTTTTTGGTTTTCAAGACAAATCCTGAAATTAATTCTGCACTCAGGAATTCCTTCTGGAGGTGCTCAGGGGACCATCTGGGATGCTGGGGGTGGACCCCAGGCAGGCCGCATGCAAGGCAAGTGCACTGCCTGTTGTACTATCTTTCCAGCACCCTCGGTAACGTGTGCACAAACACTGACTTTGCTCTCTGGGCTCTGAGTTAGCTGCGGAGTCCCCGAGCAAAGGCCCTTCTGTGTGACTCACGTAGGACGTCTTGGACTCGGCGTCCCAGCAGTCGCATGCATAGTGGGCCATCTCGTTCTCCATGTGCTGCCGGAAGCGGAGTTTTTCTGGAGATACTCCAACCTTCGTGAGGTAGAGGTAGATGCGGCCAATAAAGTAGCCTAATACTGAGTTATTAATCACACCCTGAAAATGAATGGATCAACAAATAAGTACAGATGCAAGCATGCAAGTCTCCAGTCACAGGAAAAGGAAATATGGATGCAAGATATATTATATATGGATATACATATTACCCGTGTAATACCACCCATGTTGTACTCGATATGCCAAAAACAGCAACAATGATGGTCCTCATTCCCTGACCCTGAAAGAGCTCCCAATATGCCATCGGGCTACAGCAGCACGTGACAGGGAGGAATGGAGACGTTACTGGCACCTGCTCGAGCAAATCAATGAATAACGGGATGACAGTGATACATATTACACACACACACACACACACACACACACACACACACACACACACGGGGGCACTCCTGGAGGCCAGTGCAAAATCTCAAAGATCAAGGTAAATCCATTTTATCCAACTTTCAGAACAGTCTCTGTACCCAGACTATGATTTTGGCTTTTTCATGAAGAGATGATGTCAAGCCAACCAGCTTATCATCATGGAGTTCTTAGTATTCTCTTTCCACCACACTCACTGGGCCAGCAGACTAACGCCAATGGCTCAGTTCTTCTCAACTGACTGCTGAAAAAAAATGATATTCATGGCTGGAGTGAGAGTAGAGCAGGTAGGGCATTTGCCTTGCTCTCAGCTAACCTTGGTTCACTTCTCAGCATCTCATATGGTCTCCTGAACACCACCAGGAGTCAGAGTACAGAGCCCAAAGTAACCCCTGAACATCACCAGGAGTAGCCCCAAAACAGAACAAAATGATATTCAGAATAATGAACCTCAGGAGTGACAAAAGAATCCCCTTCTCATTATCAAAAGCAAGAAGATACAGAGAGGACTTGAATGTGTTCTCAAGTCACTAAAATGTGGGACCCCATTTAATATATGCGCAGGGTCAGCACTGGAAATGTCTTAGCAAGCATTTCCCCATTCCCACTCACTGTAAGGGTCTTCTCTGCAAAACGGCTGGCAAGTTATTCCCCCAACCTCTACTAGAATATTTTCCGGGGAGTTCACTGCTCTACTGGGCTTTGCATTCCATTGCTGTAGCTACACAGCAAAGTTTCATGCACCCCTTTCCCCCCCAAAAATCACTCAAGGGCTGGAGCGGTAGCACAGCGGGTAGGGTGTTTGTCTCGCACGCAACCGACCCCGTTCGATTCCCAGGATCCCATATGGTCCCCCAAGCACCGCCAGGAGTAATTCCTGAGTGCGTGAGCCTGGGGTAATTACCCCTGTGTATTGCCGGCTGTGACCCAAAAAGCAAAATAAATAAATAAATAAATAAATAAATAAATAAAAATCACTCAAGAAAGTCTATTGCAAGCAAGACTTTATCCCATTGTCTATGGATAAGCAGAAGAGCTTCAACTCCAGATGACGTATTTTCTAGACTCAAAATCTTTCTCTTAAGGGCTGGAGAGATATTGCCTTGCATGTGGTTGATCCCAATTTTGCATGGTCCCTTGAGAACCAACAAAAGTGACCCTTGAACACCACTGGGTGCTTGTGTAATCACCAGGCGGCTGGGAAGCCTGCGGTTCTCTCTTGCCACCTGTGTTTGGTGGTCTCAGGCCACTTCCCCACCCGGGATGGTTGATGCCATGGGTGGGCAAAGGAGAAAACCAGGGCCAGGCTGGTTGGTGATCAGCTGCTGATTATTCCATTTTCCCCACACGCCTGTTCCAGTCTCACTAAGTTCCCCATTCCAGTCTCCTCCGGTACCCCTGGCTAGTCTCTCCACTCTGACTTGCTGCCTTGGTCTCTCTCTCTCTAGTCCCCCCGCCCTGCCACATTGGGCATTGGGGGTAGCACGATCAACATACTGTGGGGGTAGCACACTCAACATATCAAAGTCCTTCCTGATCGCAAGGTCAGAAATACCACCTAGGGGGGTTTCTCCCTCCCTTAGTACAATAACTTAATAACTTAACATCTAAATTCTACTTCTTAATATTAGTTATTAGCTACCTTTACCTTTACCTTATTTTGTATAGACACAGTAAGAGATACATTGAGCTTGTAGAGTGGCTCTCCTGGGGGCATCTCCCTATAGATCTCAGACTACAGTGCTCAGGCCAGATTAATCTTTCCTAACCCTAGCAGGGTCCTAATCTAGTTGTTACTTTTTGGATCATGACAGAATTTGTCCATGACCATGCTCTTAACTTATAGTGAAGTATTATGGCGCTTTGGCCTGGCCCTTTTTGATGCTAGGGTAGCTCAGAGCTTGCCCTGGGTCCATCTAGTCCCTAGCACCCCTGTATTCGGGGTGCTAGAAAGTAAGGGCAATTGAGGTTTAAGTAGAGAGAACAGATGCCTAGGAGAAGATCATTAACTCCCAAGTTACAAAAGTGGGGCATTAATTGTCTTCCTGTGTCTATACAAAAAGGACACTGCTCTGAATTACCTATGCAAAGGACTTACGAAGAGAGAAGCAATATTTACAAGTTAACAGAGTCTGATTAGGAGATAATGGTGACTGACTTGGTTGGGGAAGCAGAGCCCAAAGAAAGAGGTTACAGATAAACACAGAGGAATGGGAGCACTGTGATGGGAGTAAGCCAATAAACCTAAGCTCCCTGTGGCAAGGCAGAAAGGACAAACCAATATGATCCTACAGGTGCTCAAACCCCTCCCAAACAAAACAAATATCTCCCTCAAAGTAGCACATATTGTTAAAAGCTGAGTTGGACTCAATTCAAGTTGGTAGGACACAGTTCAAACTGAAGTCTTTTACCCAAGTGCATTTCTAGAACATTTTTTGCATGTTAGACCCAATGGCCCACAAATTGAAACAGCTATGTGATTTTCTCCCACTGAATTAATTATAATTAATATTGCATTAAAAATACTGCACAGAAAATGTGAGTGCTAAAATAAAATGGTATCCAGCACAAAAAATTTGCAAAATTCTGCAAGCCTGGTGCAGGTGAAAACCCAAATGAAATGACCGATAACATCTCACCTGTTCAACAGCATCCCCTAAGCGCATTTTCTGAGCAGACTGTCCGCTGACCTGAGCCTTCGCAGAATACAAATTCAGCTGGAGGTCTGCCACACTCTGGAACTTGGGATGGTCTTTCTCATTGGGGTCTACAAAGTGCTCAATTTCTGCCATTGTGAATTCTCTGGAAGCAAAAATCAAGGAATGAAGGTTGTGAGCTAAGCCCTAAAATGCAATAAACTATGTGCTTATTTCCAGCTTTACAGTGACAGGCCTTCACACCATGGCAACCTTTTATCACTAATTAGAAAATTGTTTTCTAAAGAAATGGTTAAAAAAAACGTTGAAGTTAGACTTTCTAGACTTATTTTTAAGTATATATAGAAAACTTTACTATTCATTATTTAAAATACAAACTCTGTCTAAATATTAATTCCAACTGTCCAATGACAAAGAATCTTTGTGGGTCGAACTTCAGTCTCCTGAACATTGTTCTAAACCCATCCAAGCACTTTCTTTGTTTCGGGGCCACACCCAGCTGTGCTCAGGAATCACGCCTGGCAAGGCTTAGGACCATAAGGGATGACGAGGATCAAACTTGAGTGGGCTATGTGCAAGGTGACACCCTCTCCGCTGTACGATGGCTCCAGCCCCATTCATGCACTCTCTAAAATCCAGTTTCAGCAGCACCTTGTTTAAATCCAGAGGCTGATCCAGTAGCCCCGCCCTCACAGGCTGGCTAGCCTGATCTGGTCTGTTACCCTCCATATGCGAGGTGATCACCCTGAGAATGTTCCACCCACCAACGCCTGCCCACTCCCAAGCTATGGCTTCCCGACAGCCCACGAAGCTGTACTAGACTCAAGTCTCTCTTTTGTCCCTATTGCAACAGGGAATTAGCCACTTTAATCACTATTCTTCCTTTGACAGTACCTACAATCACAGAAGACTATTATTTTGCTTTATTTTGGCTTGGGGGCCCCTACCCAAAGGTGTTCAAGGGTTACTCCTGGCTCTGTTCTCAGGAGGTAGCGACCCTAAGCTAAGGGGTCATATGTGTGCCAGATATCAAATCAAGGTCAGTGACATCTAAAGTTTTATGTCCCGTATTATCGCTCCAGCTGCTTATTGTTATTATTATTATTATTAATTTTGGGGTTTGTATTGGGTCACACCTGGCGATGCACAGGGGTTACTCCTGGCTCTGCACTCAGGAGTCACTCCTGGTGGTGCTTGGGGGACCATAAGGGATGTCAGGGATTGAACCCAGTTGGTCATGTGTAAGGCAAGCACTTTACCTGCTATACTATCTCTCCAACCTCCAGGCCTATTATTTTTAATGGAAGTAATTTTTTAAGGAACAAGTTGGCAGTTTTTAAAATTAAGAAAACGTAATCATATGTCAAATCCAAAAAAAAGATATTGAAAAGTGACTTTCACCAAAAAAAAAAAAAGTTTTCTGAAAGCATTAGCAAGTCTTGATAAATACACACTAAATGAAGTCTCCAAGATTTACTTTTTAGAGAATACAAAATTAAAAGTGAATTGAAACAGTTCATCCGCCTTTAAACCAGTTGGATTTCTCCTTTGTATCACCCTGAATGAGTGAGTGGCTGTTAATGGCACCATCCAGCTGGCTTCTTTAAGCAAGGGGTTCTTACAAGAAGTGTTATTTAAGGCAGAGGACATCAGGCATGAAGTGAACAGGCAAACATCCAGTCAACTGCATAATGACAAAATAAATATGCACATCGTAATCGTTTCCCAAAGAAACCTCTTTGAATGGCGCTTTTAGTCGCTACTGGAGAAAAAAACATTTTAAGTAATTTTGTGAGTCAGATTCAAATGTCACCCTGCCATGAGGGTGCACATGTGCCAAAGCATTACTAGAGCACTTATGAATATCTCGGATGTTTTAGAGAGAACGCAAAAAATATAAAGCAATAATGTAAAGTTACTAAATGAGTAACATGAAATGCATTAATTGCTCAGAGTGTTGGTTGGAAATTTTATTTTTAATGGTACCTTTAATTGGTGGTGCAATGACTAGTTTTAACTGGCTTCAAACAGTGTGCAGAGAACAGACCGAAGCAGTGTCTATCCTCAGAGTCTATGACTGGGCTGATGGAGCAACATCTAAAAGCCATCAAAGATTCAAAAAGGGTTCCTATCTAGAATCCCCAAATAATCCTCACCCCAGCCATCCCATCTGTTCTGTTGGATAATCCCGGCCTAAAGCCACACTAGACGGAGAGCCACACTAACGCTGGCTTTACCAACCACTCCTTACCCTTTCCTCAGGGCTGTCAATTGTGTGAAGAACACAATTTATCTGCAAGACAGAATCACCCGAAGTCAATCAGCAAATTTTAAGTTCATGGAAGCTGGAGCGATAGGATATAGTGGGGAGGTACTTGTCTTCCATGTGGCTGACCGGGTTCGATTCCAGAACCACACATGGCCTCCCTGAGCACTGCCAACAGTGATCCAGATACACAACAAACAAACAAAATTTAAATTTCTGATGAACAGTCTACTGATTGTTACACTGACCTAGCTACTATCTAACTCCTGCCCTAAACAAAAGGCCTAATACCCTAACAAAGAGTAAGATCCAGAAAAATTATGCCACGGAGAAGAAATCCTAACAAAAACACCCCAGCCTGCATGGACTCGTGGAAGAAACTGAACCGGGAGTGAATTCTAGCCAGGGTCCTGCAGGACCACTCCTGCTCGGAACCCAGACAGGACACCTGAAGTGGTAACGACCAAGCAAAGAGCAGCCAGGAATCCTCAGGGGCCTCTCTGCCAGTCAACCCCCCAATCAACCCTTAGTTCCGAGGAAACGTTTCTGTCCTCTGCCTTGCACACTGCCTCAGAGCCCTCCATGTCCCCCACGAAACCTCACTTGACCCAAATCCTCTCTGAGACCATAGCTTTGGCGACGTCAGTCGAACACAGCTTCCTCCAGACCCTGAGAACAGGCTTGCAGTAAGACTGGAAGAGAAAGGAAGTAGAAATAGGGAGAAAAGGGGAAGAAAAGATACAATAAGCCCAGACTTAGAACAGACTCAAATCTGACAAGTTTTTCTGTGCTGTAAAACCTGTCAAAGGCAGGGCCAGAGAGACAGTACGGGGGTAAAGCACTTGCTTCGTGCGCGGCTGACCCAGGCTTGATCCCTGGCACTCGATACGGCCCTCTGAGCACTGTCAACAGTGATTCCTGAGTGCAGAACCAGAAGTAACCCCTGAGCATTGTCAGGTGTGACCACCCCCAAAAAAACTAACCAAACAACGTGGTTAAAGGGATTTCTTAAGGCCCACGGGGGCACACCTTTCCCTGAAGCCCTTCCTGTCCAGATGGCTGGCTGGTCACGACACGGGCACCTCCTCGGAGGGACCCTGACACCAACAGGCTCAGGTGACGGACCTGCGAGGACCGAAGCCTCAATACAGCAACTCAGGCCAGAGATGGGAACAGGTGCAGAGGGCTAAGAGAGCTGCAGAAAACACGCCTGGAGTGTTCCATGGACCTACCCACCCGGCTGTTTATAAAACATTATTCTTCCAAGAGTACACAGAAAAGCGTAACCCATACATAGCTGAGTCATAATATGTTTCTAAAGGAAAAGGGCCAGAGAGATGGTGTGGGGTACAGGTGCCTGCCTGGTATGGAGCCCACTTTGGTGCCATGTATATTTCGGCATCAGCCCCAGGGCACAGCTGGGTACACCCCAAAAACCAAGAGAAAAAAAGGAAAGACGGACTTAACAGTGCCAGCCAGCCTCTCGACATGGTCCAGACTCGTGACAGAGAAGGTCTTGTGGGGGTGATAGCAGGCAGAGCGAGCCTGCTTTCATTCTCATTTCCAACCTGAGCCCCCGCTATATCCATATATAGGTCCCACGTATCTGATTACTGAAATGCCCTCACCCCAATGCCAATGGTCACACTGTCCCTACATCACTCTACACTTATATACATCTTCAATGCCAGAAAACACCAGCTTATCTTTTTTTTTTTTTGCTTTTTGGGTCACACCTGGCGATGGCTCGGCACTCAGGAATCACTCTTGGTGGTGCTCGGGGGACCATATGGGATGCTGGGAATCGAACCCGGGTTGGCTGCGTGCAAGGCAAACAAATGCCCTACCCGCTGTGCTATCTCTCCAGCCCCTTAAGTTTTATTTTTTAATTTGTTTTTGGATCACACCAGGCAGTGCTCAGGGGTTACTCCTTGCTCTGGGCTTAGGAATTACTCCTGGCAGTACGCAGGGAACCATAGAGGGTGCCGGGGACAGAACCTGTACACAAGGCATCTCCCCACTGTACTATTGCTCTGGCCCCAGAAAGCACCAATTTAAACCAGCATTCTTCAACCTCTCTAGATCTGTGGGCCAACACCTGTCCTTTCTACTGGTGAAGAAACAAATCACTCGTCAGCTGGCTTCTCTTCAGATTCATTTTTTCCACTTGAATACACCTGTCCTCCCAGAAACTGATTTCCTCTGCATACTACAAATGTAAAACATGGATAAGCAACAACAACAACAACAACAACAACAACAACTACAGAATCTGAGAAGGGTGAAACGACCTATTTCAAAGCATCAAGCTCTCCTTCCTGCGTAAACGCCAAGGTCATTTCCCTGGTCTTCCCAGCAGATTAACTCAGGCAGTACCTGACCCTGATCAGTCCAGATCGAGGGGAAATCTCATTTCGAAAAGAATTTCCAATCTGGGCAGCAGCAAAAGGTAACTTTCCTTGGTTGAATTCCAGAAGTCGCTTAAAATTGAGGAAAATCCCCTGTGCAGTTTCTGGCCTCAAGTACCTGCAAGGTTTAAATAAATCAGTTTGTTAAAAAAAAGAAATAGTTTTCCAATAAATCTAAGATTCTACATCCAAACCACAGAAGTCCTAAATGTACCATTTTTAGCATAGCTTTGTGTGGGCCTTAAACGCTGAAACGGGGAACAGAGGGATAGTACAGCCAGTAAGGCACTTGCCTTGCACATGGCCGACCCGGGTTCGATCCCAGGCATCCCCTAAGGTCCCCCAAGCCCCGCCAGGAGGGATCCTTGAATGCAGAGACAGGAGTAAGTCCTGAGCACTGCTGAGAGTGAGCCCAAAATACAACAAAACAAAAAGTTGAAACAGACATTTCCCTCAGTAGCAGACACTTTATGCTAATACTGAAGAATGCCTCAGAGAGCTGGTGCGGAAATACCGCTCCCCATAAGCCTGGCTTTATTTAATGACTTAGAGAGCTAAACGCCATCCTTCCTCCTAAGTCCCTAAAACTGGTACTCTCTGGATTGATCATTTCCACGGAGGCAGACAGACAACTTGAGATCCTTCTGAAAATAAGACGCAGGCCTGAGCACTGCTAGTAAAGCGGCTCTTTAAACTCCAAGGCACAATTAAACAAACATCAAAGCCCAGCTGTGATTGAAGCGATGTCGGTGTGGGTCAAACCATCACCTCGGTGCTCACTCATCTCTGTCGTCACACCACGCAGGGCAAGTTTTAGTATCGGTTTCATGCTGTCATCTTTCACACTGTCTTCTTCTCCGAGATAATACAGATCCTACACCAGAGGCTTTTTCTGTTATTTCCCCACATTTTAAAGACACACCGAAGCAAAGACATCATTACAGTCGCATGGTCTTCGTGATTTCAGACAGCATTTTGTGCAAATCATCAACTAAGAAAGTGTCCACATGGCCAAGGCTGCCTTTAAAAAGTATTTTATAGGAGCTGGAGATATAGTAATATTAAGATTCGTCAGAGTAAATGTTGATTTTTGACATCCATTATATAGTTGATGTTCACATTTCCTGCTTTAATTTATGGCAAAAAGAATGATCATCTACAATAAAGAATGAAATTCAGAAAAAATTAGAAGAAATGAAATTTTAGAGTATGTCATCATTTCTCCTTTATCTGTGCTTCTTATGCAAACTACTTTCTAAAGAGGTTTTCCTTGGAGGCTGGCATCATTGATCTTCCACTACGCTAATAACTTCGTGACACTGACTATAACTGGTACATACCCTGGCATGTTTCCTCCGGGCCCGATGAAGGTCTTGAACATCAGGTTAAAGGAGACTGGAGGGGAGAGGTCATTCCCAGTAATGGGGGATTTCACATTATAGTTCACAAAAAGATCCCCAAGTTCTTGCTGTCCATAGTTATCAAGCTACAAATAAATGAATAAATAAATTCATGTAAAAGGCTTAAGAAAAAACAAGGCATCAGTTAAAGTATTATAGATAAAACCCTATCCACACATTGGGAAAACTAAATATAAAATTTTATATATTTAAAAGAACGTAGAATGACCCAGATCTTCAAGACATCCATGTCAAAACTATTACCAGTTTACATACCATCCATTTACCAAAAGAAAAAGTCAATTCCTCCTTCAGTGAATCGACTCAGTAACCTCACATAAATCACATTTAGACAAATAGCTCTGGTTCAGTTACAGCACTCACTTCAGTGATAGTATTTAATAATTCTATGTACTAATAGTCATTATCAAACCCTCTAAAACAATAGATAGACAAGCTCCAATTAAAAAATTTCCACTTAATGAAGGCAAATCATCTGCTAGTAGTATTTAATTTTTAAAAATAATATAAATAAGCAGAATCAATAAATCAACTCATGGCCATAGGAACCGAAGCTTGGGTAAACTGCCAAAATTTACCACTGATGACTTGTAACTAAGACTGGAATTAAAATTCTAGTTCTTCCCTAACCTCCCTTAGCCTCAGTTTGCTTATCTGCAAAATGAAAACAACAGGACTTCCCTCACTAGGAAGGGCTAGTATAAAGATTAAATAAAACAGTAAGTATAAAATACTTAGCCCACGGGCTGGCTACTATAAAAAGTGATGAGCACTATTAATATTTGCTCTTACATAAATTCAATGAGCATTTTCATTCCACAAAAAACCTACACACCTTAGTGAAATCCTAGTTACACTAATCACATGACAAAGGTGAATCAACGGTATTTTTAAAAACTAAGCTGTGTGAGACTACAGAAGTCCAGGGGAGAATTCACACAATGCCACAGTCATCCTATTTCTGAGAAGTGACAGCTTAAAGAGAAGCTGTTTGGTGACTCCAAGACATAAATACCACTCTTAAGATGTTCTCAATGAGAACTGCAGAGAATGAAAGGTCCTGTGAGCGTCTGCTCTCCACACAAGCGCAGGGTACACAGCACGTTTCAGCAAGAGACACAGGAAAGAGGAGTCAAAGGAAAAGATTCCAAAGGCACAAAACAGGAATCGAAACCTCTGAGGAATAGAGTTTGGCAATCTCTGGCGAAATTCTGTTTGCCTGGACCTTTGACCAGGCAATCCCATGCTCAGGACTAACTCAGCAGGCAGCTGTACCACGCAGACTACCAGGGAAGACCAGCTGACAGGCATTTGGAAGCAACAGCTGGCACACGACAGAACTAATTTCTCCATAAGCAGACTGGAGAAAAATATGCATACTATTATACCAAGAAGGGGGTATTCAAATACCTGTTTTACTTTGTTTTTTATTTTTGCTTTTTTTTTGGGGGGGGGGCTCACAAACCGGTGAGGCACAGGGGTTACTCCTGGCTCTGCACTCAGGAATTACTCCTGGCAGTGCTCGGGGGACCATATGGGATGCTGGGAATCGAACCTGGGTCAGCCACGTGTGAGGTAAACGCCCTACCAGCTGTGCTATCACTCCAGCCCCTTGCTTTGTTTTTCTTGGCTTATTTTTCCAAGTTAAAAACTGACTGGGGATGCAGCTTGGTAGGAATGTTTCCCAGGCATGAGGCCTTTGGTTCAATCTTTGGTGTGCGGATGCACACAGACACACACACACACACACACACACACACACACACACACACACACCAAATAAAAGTGCCTTCACAGAGGGCTAGAAAATAAAAACTTTCAATGAATCTATTTTGTTTTGAAAATTTAACTTTGGATCTATTAAAAAAATTTTGCAGGGGCTGGAGCGATAGCACAGCGAGTACGGTGTTTGCCTTGCACGCGGCCGACCTGAGTTCGATACCCAGCATCCCATATGGTCCCCCGAGCACCGCCAGGAGTGATTCCTGAGTGCATGAGCCAGGAGTAACCCCTGAGCATCGCCGGGTGTGACCCAAAAAGAAAAAAAAAAAAAGCATAATTATTAAAAAATTCCTTTAATATGTAAAAAATTTAAGCCCTGACACTGGAGACACAGTACAGAGGGTAAAGCACTTGCCTTGCACAGGGGTGAACTGGGTTTGATTCTCGGACTCCACATGGTCCTCCCAAGTCCTGCAAGAAGCAGTCCTGAGCATAGAGCAAGGAATAAGCCCTGAGACTGCTGAATGTTACCCACAAACCGAATAAATAATAAAATTAAATCAAAACCTGGCTGGAGAAATAGACCCTAGTCTATTTAAGGCGCTTGCCTTGCATGTGGCCAATCCAGATTTGATCCCCTGCACCACAGATGGTCCCCTGAGCACTGCCATATATGGCCTCCAAACAAAAAAAAACATTTAGAAAAAGATAAAACCTGAAACAGCAGGAATATGTAAAAACTTCATTAAAATAATGCAATTATCAAATCCTAAACAGTAGAAACACTAGTGAATAAGTGTGCCAACTTAAAAAAAACTTTTAATGAAAAATAAGAAAAGTGATGGATTGAGAGAGACTTAAGGAACCACAAACCCACAGGAAAGTGTAGACTTTATCCAGATGCCAAGTCAAACATAAAACTGGTAACATTTAAGACAAGCAGGAAATGTGAATGCTGACTTAATAGGTAATATAAAAACATATATATTTATATTAATATTTACTGAGCTGATAGCCGTGAGGTTCATTTCAAAAGATTTTTTTATTTTATTATTTATTTAAATTTTATCATTTATTTATTTACTTATTTTTTGCTTTTTAGGTCACACCCAGCGATGCTCAGGGGTCACTCCTGGTTTTGCACTCAGGAATTACTCCTGGCGGTGCTCGGGGGACCATATGGGATGCTGGGAATCGAACCCGGGTCGGGCACGTGCAAGGCAAACGTCCTACCCGCTGTGCTATCACTCCAGCCTCTCAAAAGATTTTTTTAAAATCTTTCACATGTAATTGAGTAATATTTTAGACATGCTTTTAATTTTTTTTCAGGGCAATGGCAAAGGAGAGAGCTCAGAGGATGAGGGTCTGTGCCAGCCAGGGCAGAGGCCCCTAGCCAGGCCAGACACTGTGTGGTCCCCAGCTCACCATGAGGCCATGTCACCATGAGGGGCCCCAGATCCTCTGAACACAGTCAGGAGGGCCCTCACCATCTTTTCCTTCAGTGGAAGAAAGGAAGTAGAAAACAGATTCAACAAAATATGAGAAAAATGAAGAAAGCTGATGGCTACGTATTTATTACACCTCTCTGCTTGAATAGGTCTTTCATTTTTCATAATAAAAAGTTTAAAGGTGATAAAGTGACACACTGGGAAGGCAATGGTGGTAGGACTGGTGTTGGAATACTGAATGCAATACATCAGCATGAACAACTTTATAAAAACAAATTAATCTTAAAAAAACTTAGAAAAAAAAAAGAAAGAAATTGGCAAATTCAGTGTTGGGTCAGCAAAACGAGATGAAAATTAAGGAAAGTCCTTGTAAGCTGTGTCTAGTGAATTATTAGACAGGTGTAAAATTTCCTATCAGGGGTGAATGAATATCTCGAAAAGAAATTATCATGTTGCATGAAGTTAAAAGGGACCCACACGGAACATGCTCTCTGTGCTCAAACAACAATCTTTCAGCCAGTGAATCTACCAGAGCCTTCTTGGACCCAGTAACTCCCCACAGAGTTCTAACTTTCCACTGAAGATTATAATGAGAGCCGGCCAATTATTTCATAAGACAAACAAAACTAATCTTCTAGGATACAGACCTGAAATGAAATAGAAAATCAGTTCTAAAGCTATAAATTATGACTTTAAAAAAAAATAAAACAAGAATTATTTCCTACTTCTGACAATTTATGTGGAAGAAAAGTTTCCAGGCCAAAGACATTCAGAGACAAAAGCTCACAAACTAAATAGGTCAACAATTCTGAATAGGACACAATTTTATTGAGATATTGAGAAATACTTTTCAATTCTTCTGTCAAATAAAGGGCATGTTCTTCTAAGAAAGGAAGGGAATAAATAAAAATGTAGCACTGTGGTGTCAAAAGAAGTGATTTTCTAAATAATGAGGAACAACAGCAAAACAACCAGCTGCAAGCAAAGAATAAAATAAACTTCACAAGGACCAAAATAAACTGACAGATGAGTCAATAGTCAGTTAAAGAACTTTCAATTTAAATGAGGAGAAAACGTCTCAGTAAGGTTACAAAGCGAAGTATTACAGAGAAAACGAGCATGTTAAATGAATCAGAGCAACAGGGGAAACGACTCAGCAATTCTCATGGGGAAAAAGCGAAGCACCAGAGTCAGAGTCTACAGTGAGCCTCACACAGACAAAGATAATGCAAATAAAACATGCACAAAAATAGCACTGCTTGGACAGGTGCTGTCTCCCCGCCTTCTCCAGATGGAATCCCGGCGACCATGAGCTTCTACAAGCATGGCTCCGGTATGTGGGCACCAGGACTATTCTTCCGAACCTTTCCTGATATGCAATGTGAGGAATGGAAAGTAAATAATCCAGCGCCTGTCCCTGGAAGGCAGGCTTAAAGGGTGGTGGGAAAATTCGAGCAAAATATAATGCCCAACAGAAATGAATCTGGACTGAGCATTGCGCCATGCTGCTCCGGGAGGGTAAGGGTGTTTGTCCCTCTGCCTTTTCCCCCTGGCGGTGGTGACACGATGGCCGCTATCTTTCAGAGCCTAATGGACAGCCAGGTATAAGACTGCAGTGACGAGGCATGTGGGGCCTCATGGGATGGGGGGTGGAACCGGACCTGCTCCCTGTCCTGACAAGGCCCCGAGTTGCCACCCACAAACGCCTCCTCCAGCTCCTGAGCGGCCATGATTCCAGAGGCACACAAACCAATCTCAGAACCCAGCGGCTTTTGGCAGTAATCCCTCCAGACTTATTACTAGAATATCAGAAATCCAAAATCGCCTGGCCACAGTAGCTCTTCATAATCAGCAATAGAAAACAAATTTATCTAATGATGTCTTTTTGGCAGGCCTGATTGTTGGGGAAAATTCCAAGTAATAATGTTGGGTCTTTTGTCGTAATATTGAATGTGATCAATGTAGAGAGAAAGTAAAGTGGAAATCTGGCACACAGGCAGGGGGAGGGGTGGGAGGGAGGGCATACTGGGGTTCTTGGTGGTGGAAAATGTGCACTGGTGAAGGGATGGGTGTTTGATCATTGTATGACCAACCAAGACTTAAAAAGAGAAAATGAAAGGCTTTGTGACTGTTCTCACGGTGATTCAATTAAAAAAAAATAGCACTGCTCACTTCTTCTAAAAGCAAGGAAGCAAGTAAAATTGAAGAGGTATGTTTTGACGAACCTCATAACCTACCATGGTATGGGGAAATGTTCTTTGCTTAAAGGATGAAATGAGAAATCAGTAACACACTATGACACAGGAACATATGCATCTCCCTGGGGCAAAGATGTGCAACTTTTATGATTTTCTAAAAGTGGCATGTGATTGAAGAGGGGCCAATAACTGCATCTCATATAAATGGTTTCCCTGTATCTGGTGAAAGTCAGAATAGATTATCTCTGTGATCTCTTCTGCTTTCCTAAATCCTGTCAACTTATCGACAAATTATAAGCTATTGGCCCACAGCGGGGCCTGCTCCTCAGGTTCCAAGAATAAGAGTGTAGACAGGGATGGGATAACTGGAAGCAGCTCAGTGAACAGTGCTCCTTCCTCTGATCTCCACACCAGCACTGAACAGTACTCATTGTTAGTCACTTCTCTGGATGTCACAATTAAATTGAGAACTTTGATCCCAAAGGTGCAAGAACTAATTTCATACTGAGCCCAGATTCTCATTTTATGGGTTTGTTTGTTTGGGGGCCACACCTGGCGATGCTCGGGGCTTACTCCTGGTTCTGTGTTCAGGGGACCCTATGGGGGTCGAACCCACGTTGGCCGTGTGTAAGGCAAGGACCCTATCTACTGTACTATTGCTCTAACCCCATGACTCTCTAATATGAAAAGCTGAAATGACGGGTTAGTCATAAAAGGTGGAGGAGAAAAAAACAGAAAGAGATGATCTGAAGATTGAAAAGTGAACCTGTTTATTTTCCAGCAGAGAGACTTGGAACAGCACAATGTGGAGTTCAACACTGAAAGACAGACAGTCTCTACCTGGGATACTGTGAAAACATCTCGCAAGAGCTTACCTGGGTCAAGACACTTTCCATCTCTGCTTTCTTCTCAGCCGAACACTTCTTATCAGCCATCAGCTTCTGTAAATGAGCTACAAGAAAGGTACAGGTACATGTCACTCAAGAGGAAACGGGACCATGCACTTTTATTTTTTTCCCTTTTTGGGTCACACCTGGCAATGCACAGGGGTTACTTCTGGCTCATGCACTCAGGAATTACCCCTGGTGGTGCTCAGGGGACCATATGGGATGCTGGGAATTGAACCCGGGTTGGCTGTGCGTAAGGCAAATGCCCTACCCACTGTGCTATCGCTCCAGCCCCAGGACCATGAACTTTTGAGCTTGAATGTTTACATAGAAGAAAAATGTTCTTAATGTATATCAATCTCAGGTTGATTTTACAGGGAGAGTCATATTATTAGCTTCATTCTTTTGCTGATACAGAGCTTCTAACGAACTGTATGAAACCTTTTTTCACTATTCAACAATATCTGCATACTCATGGCCCATGTATTTTGCTCCTTACATGCTATGCCCAAAATACTTTAATGGAAAAAATCGGAAGGAGAAGCTGGATTGATTTCTTATGAATCTTACATGAAAGGAACTTGACATTTTAAAGCATTTTAAAGTAATGTGAACACTGGAAAGAAAAAAATACCTACAATATACAACTTCAGAATTATTCTGATTCTCACAGATGTTTACTTTAGTCTTAGACATTGATTTTAAATCACTTTAGTATTTATCCTTGATATGGTTTAATAAAAAAAAATTAAAAAACGAGCTAAAAAACGTACCTTTCAACAGATGGTCAGCACGAAAACACTCTCCATTCTTCATGTCTTTTACCATGAAATCAGCAAATTTGTCTACGTGGCCTGAGGTCCTATGTTCACAAATGATAAGTCAACTTGTCACTTCTGTACAAATTCATACAGAGTTCAGTCTGTGAGACAATCCCCCTTCTCTTACCCCTGGTTTATAGTATGTGGCAGGAAGATTGAGGCACCAACAACAGTATCCACATAGCTAATATTCGCCAGAACATATTCTACTGCAAATCTACTCCCACCTTCCCCTACATTCTTTCTTCCCACAGGGCATACACAGAGAGTATTTTTTTCACAAGTTGCCATGAAGTCTGTGCTACTCTGCAAAATCAATTAATCCCCACCTATCCCACTCTCAGTGACCCAAGCCAAGGCCCAAACCAGGAGGAATGTGACTAGTCAAGAATTCATCAGAGCTCAGTATAGACAATGAATCATAAGGGATTGTTTTTTGACACTGGAATACTGTGAGGTATTATCTCGACATCGCTCCTATTAGTGATTCAGATAATGAACGTGCAGGCTGACCTGGAATTTCAGAACCATCTTCAAGAATTTACTTGTCTCAGCTGTATGAAATTATCAGAGAGAGCATGTGAAAATGAAATTAGACCTTTACCAGGCAGCACAAAATGAACAAAGTGGTAACGCACAGAGCAGTAAGACTTGCTCCTTCACAACTGACCCCTGCAGGAATGATCTAAATTCTAACTCAAACCTGAATACAAACAGTAGTATATGATTTACAATGTATAAACACTTTGTTCAGGATTTCTACAACTTATCCTAATGAAATAATTGGAACATAACAAAAAAAAATGCAGCATATGTAATGCAGCTGCAATTCACAAATGCAATCCTGGAGCGTTGCAAAATAAATTCTGGAACAGCCATAAAACAGAACACTGTGCTGTTATTAAAAAGGCTCTGGGACCGGAAAGCCACGAAAGCAGGCTTTGTACCTGGGTCCAGGTTCAGTCCCTGACCACAGAGCACGGCCAGCTATACCCCAAACCCTGCCACCCTCCCACATCCAAGAACCCTCTAAAATAATACTCAGTGACATAAAAGTAAAAGTTCACCTACATTACATGAAAAAGCAAGAGTGCTACTAAGACACTGATACATGGAAGAACTTCGGAGAAAGAACGGCAAGGACAAACCCAGCCATGGCTTCCTGTGGGCAGTAGGGGATACTCTTTTTTTTTCATTTCCCAAATTTTTATAATGAGCATGGGTAACTTTTCACCATCAGAAAAGGCTGCCTCGATTGGTAGACTCCTTACTTTAAAACTGGCTCAGGAGTCAGCATGGTGCAATCAATCTCGAGAATCTGTTCCTCTTGGATAAAGTGCTGCCTCCAATTCTGAATGATGTTGTTCTTCAAAGCACAGCCAACGGGCCCAAAGTCGTACAGGCCACTGACACCTGAGGGAGGAAAACAAGCCCTTTACCTTGGCATGAACAAACAGGAGACAAGAGACTGAAACCCAAACTGCATGTCTGCTACAGTTCCCCAAAATAACATTTTTCAAATAAACACTTCGAACGCTTTGATCCTGAAAAGTCTGGCCTCTTGTTAACTGACAGATATAAAACTAAAACCTCTCACTGCATCTACAATTCCCAAGTTTGGAATATGGATTAGGGAAGAAAGAAAAGACACAAAAGGAGTTGTACACTAAGAAACAAAATAGAAAGCATAGTTTTCTACTCTAGAAATAAAAATGTTGTATCAGCTGATGACAATGATCTAAAATTTTAGCATCTGATTCTGCAATTTATTCGAAATTATCTGAGCCACTATTTAACTTTCAAAAAGGTAAAATTTAATACTGTCCCCATAAAAAGTATGAACATTTATTTATAATCTTGTAAAGGAAAATCAGAAAAACCTTAAAGAGAAATTAAGATGCTATTTTGACAACTAAGACGTTGCATTATCTGCAGCAGCAAAAGTCTCCAAGACTGAAAAAAAATCTTCAAAATCTTAGAAAAACTCAAGTTTCTGGGTTAGAGATATAGTACAGTGGGAAGGACACCTGCCTTGCCCGCGGCCAACCAGGGTTTGATCTCTTGTCATCCTAATGGTCCCTGAGCCCTGCCAGGAGTAATTCCTGAGCGCAGGGCCTGGACTAACCCCTGAGCATCAAGTGTAGGAGAAGGAGGAAGGGAGGGAGAGAGGGAAGAAAGGATGAAGGGATGGACATAGGGTCAAAAGAGTGAGTGATTGAGTGAGTGAGAGAGAGAGAGAGAGAGAGAGAGAGAGAGACAGAGAGACCCAAATTTCAACAACAAAATCCTTTAAGTCAAATATCACTGTAATAATAAATAATGTCAACTATGAACAGTATCTATCACTCATATCAAAATGTGAACATGTACAAATCTTGGTGAGTCTTAACCGACTCTGTGCCTTCATGGAGTGGTACAAAGCTGTAGGGATTTATCCGCACCCCCACGAGGGCTTATCTGCCCAGAGTGGAGGGCAGGATGTACAGTGAGTCCCTCCTTGGCCTCTACTGCTTCAAGTCTCCACACATTTTAAGAAGGTCCCTGGGGGCTGGTGCGATAGCACAGCGGGTAGGGCGTTTGCCTTGCACGAGGCCAACCTGAGTTCGCTTCCCGGCATCCCATCTGGTTCCCCAAGCACCGCCAGGAGTAATTCCTAAGTGCACGAGCCAGGAGTAACCCCTGAGCATCCCTGGGTGTGACCCAAAAATAAAAAATAAAAAAAAAGAAAGAAGGTCTCTGATGTATGCATGGACACATCAAATGCTAATTCCAGAGCCCTGACATCTTCAGGAAAGAAAGCAGTCTTTGAAATGAAATAGGGGGAGGGAGAGACAGTATGGGGTAAACGGGGTAAGGTACTTGCATGTGTTCGACCCAGGGTCCATCCCGGGTACCACCTCTGGTCCCTGAAGTCCCATCAGGAGTGACCCCTGAGCAGAATCGGGAGTAAGCACAGAGCATAGCTCGTTGTGGCCCAAGAAACAAAGTAAAAGAATGAAGCAGTTGGAGGGAAGAGCAGGTATTTGGTCAACAGTCCTCCTCTAAACAAAAACAGCTCTTCTCTGCTTTATGTGTCTGATACAGCTCTCCATTTATTTAAGAACAATGGTAAAGACACTAACAACACAATTGTTCTCTGCCATCCATCTCCTACCTCCATAAATGGCAAAAGCTTGATCGTAGAAAAATCTCCTCTTGAGGGTATCTTCCATTTTGGCTCTGTCCACAATGTCATCTTTGGGCTGTAATGCTAATTCCTGCAAATCATTAAAAAAAAAAAAGTAATTGGAAGGTAGGAGACATTTTGGGTTTATACATATAAATTTCATCTATTCATCAGCAGGATTCATTAGAAACTTGATCCAACAGGCAAATTCACAAATACCAGAAGCTTGGGGATCTCCCCCATTACAGAAAAGACACCATTACAGACATGGGGAGTACCACGGTGAGTGAAATGAGTCAGGAGAGGGACAGATGCAGAATGACTGTGTTCATTTGTGGGATATTAAAATATATATATATATTTTTTATATATCAAAATATATATATTTATATATAAAAAGGGCTGGAGCGATAGCACAGCGGTAGGGCATTTGCCTAGCATACAGCCAGCCTGGCAGAGCCGGGTTCGATTCCTCCGCCCTTCTTGGAGAGCCCGGCAAGCTAGCGAGAATATCTCGCCCGCACGGCAAAGCCTGGCAAGCTCCCCGTGATGTATTCAATATGCCAAACACAGTAACAACAAGTCTCAAAATGGAGATGTTACTGGGTCCGCTCGAGCAAATCGATGAACAACGGGAGGAAAGTGACAGTGATATATAAAAGAGACTAATATCCAAGGCCAGGAAAAACAGGGGTCAGAAGGCCAAAACTGGTCAATTGTTGGAAGAAAAAGAATGAAGTAGTTGGAGGGAAGAGCAGGTATTTGATCAAGTGTGTGTGTGTGTGTGTGTGTGTGTGTGTGTGTGTGTGTGTGTGAAGGGTACTCAGGAGAGAGAAGGGACCAGTATGACAATAATAATTGGAAATGATTACTCTGGACAAAAACTGAACGTTGAAAGTAAGTAAAGGGATATTCATGTTGGCCTTTCAGTATCTGTATTGCAAACTATAATGCCCAAAAAGCAGGAGTAGAGAAGGAAAGGGGAAGAAGGTGGGCAAGGGGTGGGGGAAGGGGGAGAGGGAGAGAAGAAAAGTGCCAGCCATGGGTGGGGGCAGGAGGGTACTAGAGCGAGACAAGGGCATTGGTGGTGGGAAATGTACACTGCTGGAGGGATGGGTGTTGGAACATTACATGACTGAAAGCCAGTCACGAACAGCTTTGTAACCATGTATCTCATTATGATTCTATGACAAATATATATATATTTTTAAAATTTTTATTAGTGAAACACCATGAGGTACAGTTGTAGACTTACAAATTTTTGTGCTTGGGTTTCAATTATACAACGATCAAATACCCATCCCTCCACCAGTGCCCATTTCCCACCACCACGGATCCCACTATCCCTCCCACACCCATCCCCCCATCCCACCCTGCCTCTGTGGCAGGGCATTCCCCTCTGTCCTCTCTCTCCTTTTGGGTGTTGTGCTCTGCAAAAGAGGCATTGAGTGGCAATCATGTTCAGTCCATAGTCTACTTTCGACATGCATCTCCGCTCCTGGGAGGATCCTCCAAACACCCTTTATTTGGTGCTCCCTTCTCTATCTGAGCTGCCCTTTTCCCTAGCATGCCCGGCTGGCCTCTATGCCATGGAGTAATCCTCCTGGTACTGATCTCGGCTATTCTTAGGTATTAATCTCGTATTAACAAATATATTTTTTTAAAAGATACCATTATGGAAAAGATGCCTTTTTAAGGAAAGTATGAGTATTTCTGAAACTTCACTGGCTCACTACAGCGAAACAGTGACCTCACACTTCAAACTATCCCAGCCGGGTTCACTGTCTGCAGACTGGACAGTCCCACTGCAGAGTGACGGTCTGACCGGGCTGAGAGCAGATGCCGACACTGACACCGACTACCAAACGGGCAGATGGAACTCTACCTCACGGGAGAAACCTCCGCAGAGTCCAAGTCCCGACTCAAGCAGGCCCCGACTAAGTGTTTGACTAAGTGTTTGCGCAGCCAGGCACAGGTACGACCAGGTCAGCAACAAAGGGAAGGGGCAGGCAAATAAACTCATCCAATCAAAAAGCATTTCCAGCCTACCTTTTTTTTTTAAAGTTTTAAAAACAATAACAAAGCCAATCTTGCAGGTCATATTAGCTTCCAGGGGAGTTCCTAGAGTCATGAATCTGTGGGGAGGGGGGACGGGGCCACCTGCAGGGGCACAGTGACAGGAGAGGAGGAGGGAGAGCAACTGCTACTTCTCCAAGAGCACCGGAGCTCTCTCCCGCTCAAGACAGGCGGGATCCGGCCCCTTCTCTGGGTGACCCTCGAGGGTCCCAACACTCACCTTCGCCTCCAGCACCCTCTTCCGGGCTTTGAGCTCAGCCACGGCTCGGTCGACATCCACCTGGGGGGCTTTATCTTCCTTCAGCTTCCGCACGAGATCTCCCTAGCGGCGAAGAGAAAGACCAGTCAGGCCCCGGCAGCAGTCGGCCCACAGAGGAGCAGGCAGGGCTTGGAAGGAGCGTCTGTGCAGGAAGGGGGACGGACGTTCAGACACTGTGCGAAGTTCAAATGACTGTGAACTGAAACACACACTGTGCCCTAGCACTCGTAACCTAGCGCTCTCCTGGCGAGTGTGCAGGGGACTCAGGGTGCAGGAGAGGGGGCAGGTGAGGGAGGAGAGAAGCAGAGAGGAGGAGCCTGCGAAGCAGCGGGGGCACCGGAGACCCATGAACAGCACCCACGTTTGATTTCCCGCCTCTTGTGCATATAAAACAAATGGTCTTGGGGGCCTGAGCGGTAGTCCAGTGGCACGCAGCCAACCCAGGTCTGATCCCCAGCATCCCACATCGTCCCCCAAGCACTGCCAGGAGTAATCCCTGAGCATCGCTGCATGTCTCTCTCTCTCTCTCTCTCTCTCTCACACACACACACACACACACACGAACGCATGCACGCACGCACGCACACATGCAAAACTGTTTCGGGATACAGGATATGACCCTTGAAAGAACATCTTTCTTCCCCTCTTCCCCTTATTTTTGGGCCCCATCCAGTGGTGCTCAGGGATCGCTCCTGGCAGTGGGGAGTGGGGGTCCATATGTGGTGGCAGGGGTCAAACCAAGACAAATGGCTTGGGCGCAAGAACACATGCCTTGAGTGAGAGGCATAGCTCCTAAAAAAACAACCCAGAAAAACTTGGCGTTTTCTTGGGGGGGAATGGGTGGTCCATACCCGGCAATGTTCAGGTGTTACTCCTGGCTCTGCACTCAGGAAGTATTCCTGTGGCAGTGCTTGGGATACCATATGGGATGCTGGGGATCGAACCCAGGTCGGCCGTGTGCAAGGCAAACGGCCTACCCGCTCCACTCTTAGTTCAGCCCACAAACTCGTTTTTTCCACCTAATTAGTTCTCCGATTTCTGATTTCAACCTCCCCTGGTTTCTTGACAGGAACACGGTGCTGGAGGAAATCTGGGAGAAACGAAGGAAATGATTACTGCTGGTCGGGAAAGCTTCGAGCAGCGCGAGGGGTGAAGGGTAGGTAAGGAGAGCAACCACAAGCACGGCAATAAGCACTCGACTCAAAATTTAAAAAGCCACAGGGCTTCAAGCTCACCAGAGCAATGACAGAGAACGAAATTAGATTCTCGGAAAGCAACAAGACTGTCACTAGCCTTTGCCCCACAGCCCCGTGGGCATTTTCCAAGCTCCCACTGACTTCCCCTCACCCGAAGATCACACCCGGCACTTCAGAAAGTCCCGGTCAGGAACTGCAAACCTGGTTTGGATGATCTGAACCGACATCCCGACCTGACCCGACCCAACCCTGCTGATACTTTCATTTCAAATATCCTGTTGATAATTTCAACAGGAAAATTTCTATATGCACCCAGGAAAAGCAATTTATTTTTATTTCTTTTTGTTGCTTTGGGGTCACATCTGGCGATGCTCAGGAGTTACTCCTGACTCAGTACTCAGGAATGATCCTGACAGCATTCAGGGGACCCTCTGGGATGCCGGAGATGGAACCCAGGTTTTACTTCCTTCTTTAAGTGATAACCAAGGCAATAACTCGGAGGTTTTCAAACTCTCCACCCCTGCAGAGCAGAAGCTGAAGACTACTGATTTAGGGTCGAATCTTCAGTCCAGAGCTAAGGATGGGTAAAAGGATGAGCCAGAGAAGCACCGGGGGGGTGGGGGTGGGGGAGCTGCCAGGGAGGTGCTGGGAACCCCGGCAGACCGCAGCAAGAAGAAGAGCAAGAACGAAGAGGCACGAGGGGCATCCTGGCTGCAAAGGGAGAAAGGAAAACCAGGCCGGGGAAAGGGGGCCGGGGGGCCCCTGCAGCTCAGATCTATCATCACATAAACCGACACTCTGTCCAAAAGCAGCAGTCTAGGATGTTCTGGTCTCAGAAATTTCTTAAACCATTGGGCGTTTGCCTTGCACACAGTCAACATGGCCGACCCAAGTTCGATTCCTCCGCCCCTCTCGGAGAGCCCGGCAAGCTACCGAGAGTATCTCGCACGCACGGCAGAGCCTGGCAAGCTCCCCGTGACGTATTCGATATGCCAGACACAGTAACAGCAAAGTCTCCAATGGAGACGTTACTGGGCCCGCTCGAGCAAATCGATCGGGAGGGCCTTTACCTTTACCTTTAAGGAATAATAATAATAATAATAATAATAATAAAATATATGGGTTTTGTTTGTTCTACACCTGCTGTGCTTAGGGCTCAGAACTGGTTCTCTGGTCAGGGCTCACTCCTGTGATCTCAGGGCACTGTACGGGGTGCCGAGGATCAAACCCGGGTCTACCCCTTGCAAGGTGAGCACCTTACCCACTGGACTATTACTCCGATCCCAGGTTTTTCTCTTTTAAACAACATTTGGTGTGTTCAAAATTAAAACAGAAATTTAGGAAGGGAGAGATGACATAGCAGGTGAGGCATTTGCCTTGCGTGCAGCCAAGCTAGTTTTGATCCTCAGCACCACACTGCGGATCCTGAACAGTGGCAAACACAACTGGGTGTGTGCCCCATCCCCATAACACACACACATGCATACACACGCATACACACACACATAGACACACACACGCACATAGACACACATACTCCCATACACAAACATACACACAGACACACAACACACATACACACGCACACACACATATACATGCATACACACACAAATACACATACATGCACACACATAGAGAGACAGAGAAATTTAAAAAGATTAACTCCTATAAAACAGTAGTAAGCCAACAGGGCGGGGAGGATGATGAGGGCACTGGACCCATGTGTGGCAGCGCCCGGCTCCACCCCAGCTCTCCTTGGTCCAAGCAAGCAGACCCACTGTGGAGGCCTCTGGGCACCCCTGGGGGTAGCCTGATCACCCCAACCTCACAGGACCCAGCCAGCAGCGTGTCTTCAGGCCCCAGCTTTGAACCACAGGCCAGGAACCACCAAGAAAGGCTCCCGGACCCCCTGAAAATTATCTGAGAGGCCCCTTGCTCCCCTAATATGAGTCTGTGCTCCATGCATAGGAGTAATATTTTTGTAAAACAATGGTTCCTCCCAAATTATTTTTTAAAAAGTGAAAATAATAGTTTCATGATCTATAAGTATATTTTGGTTCTGAATAAATCTTTTTTAAAACCAGCTAGACAGTCATTTCATCACCCATAGGTCATTAAGAAAATCCCAACCGAGTTAAGTAGTTCTTCCAAATCCTGGCCCATCTATTACACCATAACAGAAGAACCACATTTTAATTGCAACCCCCTAATTAAATTTTTTTTAAAAAAACACTTTAGTGCTACAGAACCATCAAGCACCTATCAGCAGGAAAAAGCTTTCCGAAATTCTAGGATTTCCCCAAAGCTCAATTTTTTCATTGGCCACATATACTATCAGTTGTCTTTGCTCGAGCGGGCCCAGTAACGTCTCCATTGGAGACTTTGTTGTTACTGTGTATGGCATATCGAATACTCTCGGTAGCTTGCTGGGCTCTCTGAGAGGGGCGGAGGAATCGAACTCGGGTCGGCCATGTTGGCCGCGTGTAAGGCGAACGCCCTACCTGATGAAGGCCCAGTGGCCACGACTAAATAACACCCTCGCAGACATTTCAGCGTTCGTGGCCAGCAGCAGGCAGTCAGCTTGCAGCTCAGTCACACTAAGTGTCACTCCTAAAGCAACCACCTACTTCCGCGTGCTCTCACATACTTCCCTTCGCACACACAGAATACTAAAGAGACACAGGTAACTGCTTCATCAAGGAGGGCGGGAAGTGTTTCCCAAAGGGGCTCCTAGGATTCGGGGGGGAAGAAGTGGTGGCAGACTGGATGCAACGGGGTTGCTTTCTGTCACGAAAGAAGGCAGATTTCCTTAGAGGGAAGATGCCGAGCTGGTTTACCCTTCTGAAAAGGGGGTGAGGGGCCAAATAAGATCAAAGAACCTCTACTAGGAAGCAAAACTGACTTTTCCAACAGCTACACTGTGGGGAACAGAGGATCTGGTGAGCTGCCCCTGACGCGATCAGAACCACACCTGTGCTGGGGATCGAACCAGCATATGCTCCAGACCCTCAGAGCTAGGCCCCCCCAGTCCAGGATCAGCCCTTTTATGCACGGCTGCCTTTTCAACATGGTGCAAACACCAGTGCATGAAAACTGCAAATAGATTGCTTCCATGAAAATGGCTTTGATCTTGGGGACCTCCAAGGGTTCTACAGAACTACTGATAATCTTGGCCTAGCAATTATTTCCCAAAACAGATACTAAATACTGTGTTCTCCCTCTCTCTCCATCTCTGTCTCTCTGTCTCGAGGTTTTGGGACACACCCAGCTGTGCCCAGGGCTTATTCCTGGCTCCGTGCTCAGGGATCACTCCTGGCAATGTTCAGGCGACCAAACGTGGTGCGGGGGAAATCAAAACCAGGTCAGCCACATGCCAGGCAAGTTCCTGAGCTACCTCTCTGGCCCCTAAAACTGTTTTCTATTATAGGAGTACAGTACGGGAAAACAGCTCACTAGACCTTTTCTTAAAGATGTACCTACCATACATAAAAGATGGCTCTTACTGAGTTACGGTCTGTATTTTTTAATTTGGGGGGGGCACAGAGGGGGAAGTGTGTTGTATGTTATCCTTTCGTGAGCTGGGAGAAGAACAAAGGTGTAGAGAGCATATTTTGCACAAAAGCCTTAGGTTTGCTCCCCAGGACCACCACAGCGATGGGGTACCCCCCGACCCCGCTCACTGCCAAGTGTACCCCCCTCAAAAATTTTTCTTTTGGAACTGTACAGTGGTAATACAGCAGGGAGGGCACTTGCCTTGCACGCAGTCCACCTGGATTTGATTCCTCACATCCCATATGATTTCTCTAAGCACCACCAGGGGTGATTACTCAGTGCAGAGTCAGAAGTGACCCCCGAGTGCAGGGTGTGACCCAAGACAGAAGAAAAAAACATTCCTTTCTTTGTAAAAAGACAAAAAACAGATAGTAGTTTGTACTGTTTTTGTTTTGTGGGGTTGAGGGTTCACTTCTGGCTGTGCACTCAAGGATCACTTCTGGCGGGCCCGGGGACCATATAGGGTGCTGAGGATCAAACCTGGATTGGCCAGTGCAAGCCAAGTACCCAACCCTTTAGACCATCACTCTGGCCCCATGTACTGGGTTTGTTTGTTTAAAATGTTATTTATTTGGCAATATTAGGGCTGGTCATACTATACTAACCCCTTCCCCGTTTATTGTTTTTTTGTTTGGGGGCCACTCTTGGTGACACTCAGGGCTTACTCCTGGCTCTGCACTGAGGAATCACTCCTGGTGGTGTTCAGGGGACCAGATGGGATGTCCCCCAGGTGGGTGTGCAAAGCCAAGCACCCTAACCTGCTGTGCCAAGGCTCTGGCCCCTAACTCCTCTTCAAAAACAAACAAAAGCCTAGACTGCACTTGTTTCATCAAATAACTTGATTTAGAAGCTGTGATGTCTTCCTACATGTTCTACAGCTAATTCCTTAGGAATACCTGGGAGTATGCCACCGGGAAATATACTTCAGTCAACAGCCAAAACCTTTAAAAATAAAATCCACATAGCAAAAGCAGAGAAGCCAGTCTCCATGAGACACAACAGTAACATACATCACCCATCACTAGACCCATTCCCCAAACGCAAATGCCTTAAAAACCCCACCGCACAAACTTCACCATGAAAATATCCACAGAGGCCAGAGGGGACCATATGCCCCCATAAACACCTTAGATCACGGCTCAGGTCCTTACGAGGGAACACTGGAGTCAAAGTGATTCCAAGCCCAGGGGCCTGATGTATGTGTGTGTGGGGGGGGGGGGCTGGTGTGTGTGTGTGTGTGTGTGTGTGTGTGTTCCTGCAAAGTCAAAAGAACTTGAACTTCAATAAACCAACTCACATGTTCTAAAAGCAGTCAAGTACAAAAAATAATAATAATAATAAATAATAATAATAATCAACGAACAAGGATGCCAACAGAAGCCTCCACACACACGGCAACCCGGTCTGCAGGTCGTGCTCCAAGCTGGCTCGGAGGCCAGCTCCCGTCCACTGCAGAGTCGTCTGCGCGGCGGTCACAGGCTAACGTGGCAGGGGGAGGGCTCTGGGCGCGTGTTTTCCAAATTAGACGGCCTGGGGAGGCCAAGGACCAGAGCAAGAGCTGACAGCGCCCGCCCCGAGAGAGACAAAGGAACCACACCTAACTTCATGTGGGGCGGGCGGGGCGGGGCAGGGGCCCAGAGGACGCCCACACCGCAGCGTCCCGCGACCCACTTAGACCCCCGTGAAACTAACTCCCCAATAAAACCCGCGCTCGACCAGGGCAGGCCCCCAGGCGGGGGGCCCCCGGGCGCTGCCCAGGGGCAGCAGTATCTGCTGGATGTGCGGCACTGCTGCCCCAAAGAATCGCTCCCAGCCCTAGTCCCACCCTCCCGAGTTATTGCATCAGGCAGGCGCCGGTACAGGAGGAACCCGTTCGGGTGAACTCCTCGGTCGTGGTGCCCGGATGCCCCCCGTGCCAGCCGGGACTGGAACAGGGCTGGGTGTGCGCGCATCATCTCAAAAGCATCTTTCCCCTCCGACCTCCCCAAATCCCGAGATCCCCGCGTTGCCCTGGAGAGACAGAGGCCTTGCAGGCCCTCCCGACCCGGGGAGAATCCCGCTCCCCAGAGCCTGGGGGGCCGGGGGCCGGGACCCGCTGCGCGCAGCCGGGAACCCCGCGCCCACCCCCGCGGTGGTCCCTCCGCCCGGGGGACGACGACCGAGAGCTCGCTCCGGGTACCGCTCCTCGGGAAAGCCCCAGCGCGCCCCCCCACCCCCGCCCCGACACCCACGGAGCCCCGAGCGCAGGAGGGTGGCGCGGGCGCAGCGGCGGGGCCGGGGAGGTGGGGGGTGGAGATCCCCCGCGCGCGCGACCCCGGGGGTCGGCGCATCCAACCAGCGGCTGGAGACGGACCAAGGTCCGGGCGCCCCCGGGGGGCGGGCGGGCGCGGTACCTGCTGGCGCACGGCGAGCCGGAGCGGGGCGAGCGCGGCCTCGGCGCCGTCCATGCTGCGGGGCGCGGGGGCGGCCGTGCGGAGCGCGCGCGGGGACGGCGGGGGCAGCAGCGCGGCGCGGGCGGCGCGGAGCAGCGCGGGCCGCGGGCAGGGCATGGGCCGGCGCGGGCGGAAGCGGCGCGGCCGGGATGATGAAACCGCCGCGCCGGGCGCGCAGCCGCGCGTTCCCGCCCGCAGATTCGCCACGGCGCCGCCCCGGGGCAGCCCCCGGGGGCGCATCTCTGCGAGAGCCCTGGAGGGGGATGGGGAGGACACCGGGCGACCCGGGGCGGCACGGCGATCTGCAGACGTGACAGCGGCCCCGCTCCCGTTTCTGCGCTTTGACACCCCCCCCCCCCAAAGGGTCAGGGAACTTCGTCCTGGAGAGGGGCTCAAGCTCGTGCTCTTCCACCCCGGCCAGTTCCCCGCGTGGGGAAGCCGCGGACAGAGAGGTCTTAACTGGCCCGGTTCCAGGCAAGAGCTGGGCAAAGGAGGACAAGGCAGAGAAGGGGGCTTGCATGGGTTGACTTTTGACGGCGGCGCACTGTCACGATGATATTTTAGGGTGTCTAAAGTGCCTCCAAGCAAAGTGCCCAAGACTGACCGGCCTCTGCAGGGCCAGCAGGATTTGAACCCACAGAGGCGAGTCAAGTCACCGCGGAGGTGGACGAGTGCAGCATGCGGGTGCCCGGGTTGCCCCTGCCGGGGACTTGTCTGGGCTGACCGAGCTTTTGTCCTTAGCACGAGACAGAGGACCACAGCTGCCTTCCTGCACCTCTTCTGGCCTGGTGACGGCCTGGTTGGCTCCGAAAGCTACATTTCCTTTGCAGAAAGGGGAGAGAGAAAAATAATGCACTGGTCTTAGGATTTGCATCGCACTCCACCAACCCCGCCTTCTGGGTCCAAAGTAAATACAGAGGGACAGTCCACGTCATGCTCTGCGGTTCCCCCCCGCCCCCCCCCCCCCACACACACACGGCAGAGACCTCACCAGGCACCCCGGGGCTGGGGACCGCTGCTTAAGCACAGCACCAGCGCCTTGCGCAGTGACCACTTCTAGGAGTATGGAGAGAGACGTCCACCTTTTCGGAAATGGTAACTGGGGTACCTCTCTTCCTGTCCCAGATGGGGTCCCATCTGGGAGAGGTGCTTAGTGGCACTAAATCACAAACGGGACAATAACTTTAAAAAAAAACACTGAGTTATTAAACAACTTGTACTTTAAAGCCATCACTTCCAGATTTGGTATTTATTAGTCACAATTTTACGTTGCTTTATCGTAATAGGAAATTTCACGGTTGGTATTTAAAATAGAGAACAATTTTCACTACTTCCCCCCCTCCAGCCGGGTTTTTTAATTCTATAGGTCAAAAATATCTTGTCCTTTTTAAGTTTTGTGCTACAAAAGGCAAAGACATGCGCACTACTTCTCTGCTTGGCCTGCTGCTGTAGGTCCGTGTGGCTAAGAAGCAGAGTTTCGCAAATAGTTTTCCTTGGAAATTTAATTTACAAGTTAATAAGGATAGGTTTTCTTCCAGGTAGTATGGGTTTGCCACTATCTTGCATACAAATGACCAGGGCTGATCCCAACACTGCATATGATCCCACCCCACCCCCCCCCACCCCTGACCCCTGAGCACAGAGCCAGGAGAAAGCCCTGCCTTTCTCTTTTTTTTTTTCCTCTTTTGCTTGGGTTTGCAATGGTAGTAATAGTTTGCCCACAACTGCACAGCCGTGAGTGGAGAAAGGGAGCTTGTCGCAGAGGTAGATTTAGCATGTGACTACGGGAGCCTGTGGCAGAGATAGATTTATCGCGTGACTGCTGTCTGTGCCCCTTCCAGGCCCTGCAGGGGCCCAAACATGGAAAGTACATAGCCATGTTGTTCATTCTGTTTTTCTTTCTTTCTTTCTTTCTTTCTTTCTTTCTTTCTTTTTTTCTTTCTTTTTTTTTTTTCATTTTGGGTCACACCCGGTGATGCTCAGGGGTTACTCCTGGCTCAGCACTCAGGAATTACTCCTGGCGGTGCTCGGGGGACCATATGGTACGCTGGGAATCGAACCCGGGTCAGCCATCTGCAAGGCAAATGCCCTACCCCCTGTGCTATTGCTCCAGCCCCATCTGTTTTCCTTTTTTTGTTACAGTTCTTTTCTTTATTGGAGGGAATAAAATTTGCATATGTTGAAATGCACAAATCTAAAGTTTAGAGCTAAATGGACTGTTGATGTGCTTTTGTTTTGGGGCCACACCAAGTGGGCTCAGGGCTTTCTCCTAGCTCTGTGCTCAGGGGTTATTCCTGGAGGAGTTCGGGGATCATATGCAGTGCTGGGATCAACCCTGGTCAGCTGCGTGCAAGGCACATGCCCTACCTGCTATACGTTTGCTGGTCTCCAAGTTAAGTGGATTCTGGCCAAAAAATGTCCTCTGTCACCCCCCACCTGCTGAGTGGCTTACACTCCAGCCTCTGCTCACAGAGAAAGCCTCCCACTTCCCTTTGAGTCCTGAGTGATGAGGCAAGGGCTGAATTGAGGCAATTTATTGTCCCAGTCATTTCTGTTTTGAGTTGGCTGATTCCCATGGTTAGGTTCAGGGAAGGTTTTAGTTTTTAGAACAGTCTAGGGGCTGGAGGAACGCAGCCAGCAGAGATGCTGGGAGGCAGACGGGGTTGGGTGGTTCCTCTGACCCAAGGACCTTGGGCCGTGGGTCCCAGAGGAAATAAAGCTCAGCAACCTGTCGTCGAACAGTCTCTGGACACGGCGCCGGGGTCTGTTGAGGATCTTGCAGGTCCCAGGGGGTTGTCCAGGTACCGGAACTCACCCCCTCCAGGGATTCAGGAGGGGCCAAGGCACAGGAGCAACCAAACTTCCAGCAAGGAGGAGGGCACAAGCCCTGCAGGCCACAAGAGTGCAGTAGTGTTCTCCAGAGTCACTTGGGCTGTGCAGAGCCTTCACACCTGTCCACAGTCTTTCAAGAAACATCAGCCAGCACCCGCTATGCACCAGGCACTCTTCTAAGCACCGACAGAACAGCGAGCAGGAAGACAGGGAGGGGAGAGGCCCAAAGGCAGAAGCATTGGTTCTGCATGCAGGGGTGCTGGGCTCCGTCGATGCCACGCACAGCCCTCTGAGCACCTCCGGGAATGACCCCGAACATTAAGCCAGGAATAGCCCCTGAGCATCACCTGATGTGGCCCCCAAATAAAATCAAAACTGAACAAGCCATTAAAAGACACACCTCCGTACCACGAACTTTGGAATCACTGACCATATGAAAATAAGATGATGTGCTGGCGCAGGCACGGGGAGAAAGGGGCTCTCCTTCACTCTTGGTGGGAACACCAACTGGTCCAGCCTTTTTGGGAAAAAAATATGGACATTCCTCAAAAAACTAGAAATTGAGCTTTCCTTTGACTCAGTAATACCACTTCTGGGGATATATCCTGGAGTCTAAAAACGCACAGCAGAAACAGCATCTGCACTCCTATGTTTGTTGCAGCACAATTCACCGTAGTCAGAATCTGGAAACAACCTGAGTGCCTGAGAACAGACAAAAAGATTAAGAAACTATGGCACATCTACATAGTGAAATACTACGCAGAACTTGGGAAAAATAAGTCATGAAATTTGCCTATAAATGGATGGACATGAAGAGTATCATGCTGAGTGAAATAGGTCAGGAGAAGAAGGACAGACATAGAATGACTGCACTCATTTGTGGGATATTATATATATGTATATGTACATATATATATACATATAGTAGAGGGGACTGGAGCAATAGTACAGTGGTACGTACAGTGGGTAGGGCATTCACCTTGCATGTGGCCGACCCGGGTTAGATCCCAGCAACCCATATAGTCCCTGGAGGACCACTAGGAGTAATTCTTGAGTTCAGAGCCAGGAGTAACCTCTGTGCATCTCCAGGTGTGACCCCAAAAAACCTATATATTATATACAGTAGAACACCAAGGCCAGGCGAAACAAGGGCTAGGCCTACCACAAGTGTGTGTGGTGTTGGGGAACAGTTTTCCCCAACATTCCCAGACACATTGCACACTGGGTCCGGGCAGACATGGGATGAATAATGATGGGCATGTGGAGAAACACCTTCCAGGAAGAGCTGATGGCTGTTCACATTATTGCCAAACACACACATATTTTATAGAGGGTCTCAGCTTATAAGAAGGTCCAGTCACATGAAGTTTAGCATAATTGGCCTGTCACCTTTTCTTCTCTGCTTCACCCCAGTCCAATCCCAATCAAGGCTAGATGCTGCACGTTGCTAAGCATACATGACAGTTTCTTTGTCTTGGGTGCATGGGACCAAGGGGTCGAGTGAGGCTCAAGGCCGAACACACGGTGCTGGCTGACACCCTGTTCTTGTCAACTTTGCCCAGATACTCCCTCTTTCAAGGTTTTGCTTCTGGGCTGCTTTGCAAGGTCGGGTCTTATTTGCTCCAGTGCCTGTCACCATGCTCCACGGTGTGGGGTGGGGGTAGGTAAGATAGAGAAGGGACAACTATGACAGTAGTAGTTGGAAATGATCACACTGGACAAGAACTGAGTGTTAAAAGTAGGCAAAGGGATACACATGACAACCTTTCAGTATCTGCGTTGCAAACCACAATTCCCAAAAAGGGAGAGAGAGGGAGAGAGAGAGGGAGAGGGAGAGGGAGAGAGAGAGAGAGAGAGAGAGAGAGAGAGAGAGACCGATAGACAGAAATGCCTGCCATAGAGGCAGGCTGGGGGTGGTGGTGGATGATGGAAGGAAAATGGGGACACTGGTGCTGGGAAATGTGCACTGGTGGAGGGATGGGTGTTGGGACACTGTATGACTGAAATCTGTCATGAACAGCCTTGTAAGGGTCTATCTCACAGTGATTCAAAAAAAAATTTTAAAGAAAAATAACAAAAAGCAAGCTGATATGATGTGGGGAAAGTTCAGTGAGCAAGTACCTGCCTTGCAGCTATGAGGCTGTGAGTTGGGTCCCCCACAGTCCCCTACATGCGGAACACAATGCCAAAGGAACTGCCGCTGTGGGGATCCCTGGTGCATGCACAAAGTGTGCAATTTCCAGCATAGCAGCCAAGTATGTGCAAACACTGCAACTACAGACAGGGTGTGATCCCCAATG